ATATTACAATTTGGAATGGGAAGGAATTGTTAGAGATTTCAAAATATATATGAATAGATATATGACTGATTGCATATATTAGTGATGAGTCGGTGGGTGCATTGTGAAATAGAGTTATCCTTTGAAAAGTATCCTAACAGTTGTGAACTTTGGGTATTGACAGTTATATTCAATATGAGGCATCTGTTCACCGACAGGGCCGGGCCTGACTTTTGGGTGGCCCTAGGCTAGAAATAAAAATGAAGCTCATTTCTCTTTCATTCTCCTGAATATAATAAACTAAAATGGAAAAAAAAAATTATGCAATTAAATACAATTTGGATACATAAACATGGCTCCAGCATTGGTTATAAAATCGTTGCCCCAATCAGAAAATAAACAAGAATGAGAATACAAATAATTTGCATTCTTTCATATTTCCTCACTAAATAATCTACTAACAAGAATTTTTGGATAAATATAATAATTTCTAGTCCCTATTGGCTTTCTTTCATTGATTACTACTTTTAGCAATTAAATACTTTTTGGCAATTAAATACTTATATACATGCAATTGATGTTCGTATATTACATAATTTTCATTTGGACTCTTCAGAAACACTTGTAATCATATTTGGGGCCTCCAAATGCCAAACAATTGAAATTATTCTCCTCTAAAATCATATTCTTCAACTTAGTACATATAATATATATAATTTGGGGCCCTACAAATGCAAGGCCCATGGCCTTTGCCCTCCTTGCCCACCCACAGGGCCGACATTGTCCATCGAAAGAGTGCTTTGCCACCTCTTCACCAAAATCAAATGGGTACTTTTGACACTCACTCGAATCTATAAAAACCCCACAATGTGGGACTTCTAAACACAACATAAATCAATCTCTCTCTAACTCTTCTTCTCAATATATCATACAATTTTCTTGTAGAAATTCTAAGGGAATTTCAGTTTTTGCTAAACTCAATAATTCCAATCTTCGTATTATCCTGGAAGTGATTTGTGTGGAACCTATTATTAAACTCTATTGAGTGAGGGGGAAATATCACTTTAAGAAAAATGTAGTAACGTGCCTCAGAGCCAAATTTTCTGTCTATTCTCAATTTAATTTCCAACATAATATTATCATACATTCAAACTAATTCAAAACATGTTCAACTCCAAGATGTTGGCCATGTGTTGCGTTGCTATTTCTTTAAAGGTTGCACACAGTCACATACAAGACACAATTGTTAAAGCATCTTCCGTGCTGTGCTCAAGTGTAAAGAGGGGTGTAAATTATATTTATGGCATGTTTACTAATTCGTAATTGGATTATAAGGAGTTGAATTGAGGAGAATTAGATTCCAGATTCCTATTGAAGTTGTTTACTAAACCATATGGATTGAGGGGAGTTAGATTTCAGATTCCTATTGAAGTTGTTTACTAAACTATAAGGAATTGGGGTATGAGTGATACTAATTACTAAAATGTCCTCGTTGTTGGGTTAAAGTAGATGACAAATTTGGAATTTTAAAAATTGTGTGAGGATATAATGGGTAAAAAAGATAAATTCCTAATGGATTAATTCTCCAGGAATTAGAATATCACCTCCCACCCAAGAATTGAATTCCTCCAAAATCAGGAATTCAATTTCTAATTGTGTGGGCCCCACTTACTTTTCAATTCCTTGATGTGAAGTAAACGCATAAATCTTCCATAGGTGGAATTCAATTCATGATTAATAAACACACCATTAGAGCTAGAGTGACTAGAATGGCTGCAATAGGGAGATGTATAGGGATGTAAATGCATGAAAATCGCCTAAGATGGGAGAAAGATGGGCTTTTACACCCATTTTTATATTTGCTCCAAGTGAACTCCACAACATTAAAGGAAGATAAAGAAGGGAGTGGAGGTCTAGATGCCCGCTAGATGTTGCTCCGCGGGTCTCACGGCTTGACTCAACGCACTAAGTGCTGCTTGCAACGGTTGACATGTTAAAGCGCACTAAGTGTTGCTTCCAATGGTCAACTCGTTAGAGCGCACTAAGTGATGCTTGCAACGGTCGACGGGTCAGAACGCATTAAGTGCTTGCAACGGTCGACGAGTCAGGACACACTAAGTGCTTGCAACGGTCAACTCTCCCCAAGATCCAAGGGTTGGATTCATTGACTTTTACAAACCAAAAAAAATAGCAAAAAGTTCTTAAAATTTACCTAAAAAAATCCACCTAGTCCTATTTTTTTTTTTCAATATACTCCCATAATTACCCAATGGTCCCAAAAAATCAAAACTAAACACCTACAATGTTATTTCCGGAATGTTGTTGAAATTTTAATATTTAGGTCGATTTGTTTGGAAAAAAATGTAGCATAACAAAAAAGACACAAAAAGTTAACACAATAACGTATTAATACAAGAAAATAAAAAATAAATTTTATTTTATTTAATATACTTCTTACTATTAGATAGTGCTCATAAATCTCATCATAGGTACCCAAAGATTCATAATGAACTTCGATAGGAGTTTCTCTTGAAGTAATTTATATATTCAGATTTATATCTACTTATTTGAGTAAAAATCACATTTACATCACAGGAGATGTAAATGGGGCTTTACGCCTCCAAATTTACATCTCTTCACGGGAGAAGCTCTTTAAAATCCTTTATCAAGTTTCCCTCATAAAAGCTAGTCAAACTATTAGCACTTCCCGAATTAGGAGTTGAATCCCAGCCAATGTTGGTTTTGACCCAACCCACAATCTGACTCTAATAAAGCAACTCAATTAAAACGATAGGCCCTGGGAATGCATGTCTGAGTTCCTGTGACAAATTTGATTCTAATCTCTCCTTTGTGTTTTTCCAAAGTCTCCCAAAACAAAAGGCAGTTGATCTAAAGAAGAAACAAAATTTCATTCAATAGCCAAATGTGAGTATATATATTAAAACTAAACACAAAATACACATAAGAGATGAGGTAAAATGCTACAATCTAGCATTCTTGAATTTGGAACTCGTGTATCAACTCAAGATGTATGTAGAGCCTCAACTGCCTCATTTATCTTCCAAGAGAAGTTTTGTGCAAGATAAAAGGGATGACGACTCCTCTTCCGTAGCCAATCCAGAGCCTTGCCATCTTATTCTACCAAATTTATCAAGCAGAACTATATACCTATAAAGTGGTAACATGAACAAAATGTAGCTTGTCAAGAGAATTATTCTATAGCCGACAATTCACAAAACCATAAAAGTCAATGGCAATAGAAAGCTTTTGTACCCGGTCAGAAGGTTCAGTATTTTAAGTTCTTTTCTGAAGTAGTAGTGGTCACCAAACGAATATACGATCTGCCTTTTAGGTTCATTACTTTCATCATGCTTAGATTTCCTCATAATCCTGAGCAGCAACTTCTTAATTGGACTCCGACATAAGAACCATGAGTCTATTAATGACACCTGAAGAAAGCTTCATTAATAAGTTATATGTACGATACTTGTGATAACAGTTAAAGGAATTTTTAATGGATATATTATTGAATAACATGAGAAAAAAGAAGGTTTATGTGCCTTAAGCTTGTGATAACCAATTCTCCAACAATACACCCACACACACACAAAGTATGCTATGTGCATAAGCTACCATTTAGTTGAGAAACAATAACCATAGGCAAAAATACATTCCCAAACAAGATTGTGGACAAGAGACCTTGCTCCTCCTAATGTCCCCATCAAAGAAAAAGAAATGTCATTTATTTCCCCCCACCTGCAGGGGGCAGGGGTGGGGAGTGCATGCCAGTCCCGCATTTAACAAACATAAAAAAGAGAATGAGCAATACAATACAAAGGCCACAATAATGATAACCTTCATGTTTTATACATATAACAGGAACAATGCTTATCTGGAAAAATTCAAGTGAGGAAATGCATGCTGTTATAAAAACACTTTAAAGACATAATTTATAGTCAACCTTGCCATTAAATGAACCCGCATTAACAAGGTTTACTTCACACTGTTCATCAAACTTTGCACAGAAAGAGTTATCTAAACTTACAGAATGTAAGTATTGTTAGAGGCAAGAAAAAGTGGGTAAATAACTACAACAGAGAATGCAGAAAATTGAATCAATGATGACAATCTATAAAAACCACTTGTACCTCATATAATTGAACATCCCTTGAACCACTAAAAGCATCAAGAAAAGGAGCACTCCAAGAATGAATCATTCCCTGTCAAGGACAAAGAACTTTATTTTGTAGGAACGATGGTAACAGAAAATCACAAGGGCTGACGCAGTAACATAACAAGTTTAACTGTCCATATACAGTCCACAGGAAAAACCAAACATACTGCATCCATGTAAAAATCACAATGCCTGCAACAAAGTTGCTATCTAGCTTGAGTATTACCTAGATTGGAGATTAACGGGCAATTGAAAAATGACAACACTCTGACAATAGTAAACAACACACTTCAACGTGTAATAAATAAATTGGATATCAATGGTTACAAGGCAGCTCTAGTGGTTTCCCCTACTATAACTCTGCACAAGGATGACTGAAATGCATTCATGAAATGGGTCAGACTGGGACTAGACAAATCTTTCTACATTTCTAAACAAAATCCAGCAGCTCTAGTCTGCTCACCAAGTTTTACATTAACCATCAACTGCATTTCACTCTCTAAACTAGACTTAAACAAACCTGAGTGGTTGATCTTATCTGTCACCCTTAAAGTACATTTTATGTTATAAGGCTTAAAAATGCAAATTCCAATTTCGGAGGTGTGCATTGCCACCGCTTGATGGTTTTACTGGACACTGTAGCCAGTTTCCAATCACTGAGGATAGAAAACTTGCATTTCAATTTCTATATACATCTTGCTGTCCTTGTAATTATTGGAGAACTTTCTCAAAAGTCATACAGTTTTAATCTTCATGTTCAAAAGAGCATAAGTAAGTCAAATGCATTTATATCTTTCCTTTTTCTGCATAACATATAAATCTATCCTCCTCTTTCCCTTTTCTCTCCTCATAGTCCTACTGGCCTCTTTGATATACACTTCCCATACATACACATTATAAAATGAACAATAAGAATGTATAACTCATCTTTAAGAATCGTCAAACATTGTAAATAATTCATGATGGGTTGCACATTTCAAAGTGTATAAAAATACTATAATAATAAGTAAATTAAAATACCTGGGAGCTTGCTCGAAATGAAAGGCAAACTAAAGATGCCTTGGGGATTTCCGCTTTGTTGGCAGCTGCCACATTTCCATTTCCACTGGAGCCAATGGGCAGCTTTGATATTTTGCCATCAGAGTAGTTCACTTCTAAGTCAGGAAACTTAACAGCTGCGGTTGCAGGAATTAAGATTTTATTTGCCACAGAAATCTGCACAGAAACTTAAAGTTTATAGTTCAAACTTATAAAGAAAAAGAAACATCCTTTTTAGTGCACCAAGTAAGAGTACAATGCTTCCTCATAGAGACTAGAATATTACTATCAGTTAGTACTACTTATCATCTCAATTCCTAATTCTGAAAAGACAAAAGGAAAGCATCCCCTTCTACACGACAATGTACCAATCCATTGAAACCCAAAAATGAACTACGGATGCAAAATGACATTAAAATAACAAATTTTCAATGGGTTGATTGCAGTGTTTCCTTACCTTCCCACCATGCTTCTTAAGCTCTGACATATCAGCAAAATACCCCCTATTCAACTCATCTGCACTGCCCTAAATAACAGCAACAATGCATTAATATTGACACATGCCCCAAAAACACACACACAAATAAAAGAAACAAAAAGTGGCACAAAAACTTACAGCCGGGCACGCTCTTTCTTTATAGCTTCTTTGTTTCCAAGCTGCAATCAAATGGGTATTTCCCTAATTTCCATTAACAACACTGGGTTTTGGCTAATTTGGAAAAAAATTGCAAATTTGACTCGCTGGGCATTCAAACGAGGCACAGTGGGATGAAATAAAAGACGGGGTTACCTGGTAAATGTCGAAGAAGCGATTGGAGCTTCTTTGAGCTAAGAAATGCTGGGAAGGTGGAAGAAGATACAGCTCCTTGTTCTCCTTGGGCCTCAATATTTGAGAAGTATATATAGAAGATCGGGTAATTCGCTTCATTCTATCTCACTGTGAAAAACCCTAAATCAAATACAAAGATTGCAGGGTTTTTTCTGTTTGACGAATTTGGCAAAGTGGCAGTTCTTAATTTCGTCAGTTCTCCAAGCGTGTAAGCAAGCAGACGATGGTGTGATTTGCAGAGCCGTGGCTTTGGGCCAAGGTTCAGCTTAAAGTGATGGGCTTGTATGATAATGGAAGTCTGCTGAAAGTAATGGGCTATGGCTGCATGGTTAGCAATGTTTTTTTTATTATTTGCACCCATCAATTTGACATGTGCACCCAATACAAAATTTTCAAGTTTCACTTATGTCATGTTTACCAATCCGTAATCGGATTAGGAGGAATTGAATTGAGGAGGAGTTGGATTGAGGAAAATTATATTTCGAATTCCTATTGAAGTTGTTTACTAAACCATATGGATTGATGAAAGTAGATTCCGGATTCCTATTAAAGTTGTTTACTAAACGATATGGAATTGAGGTAGGAGCAGTACTAATTACTAAAATATCCTCATTTTTGGGTTAAAGTAGATGGAAAATTTGAAAATTTGAAAATTATTCGAGAATATAATGGGTAAAAAAGATGAATTTCTAATGGGTTAATTCTCTATGAATTAGAATTATGGGAGCGCATTTTGCGCAGGTGGCTTCTTCACCCCATCTTCCGTTCGCACTTTTGGTTCACTATGTTACCCGAGACTCTCTTGGTGGTGTGGACTTGCAATGGTGGTTTGGCTGCAACTTGTTTTTCAGTTTTAGGTTTGTTTTGGTTTGAAACTTTGTATGTGGGCCTTGCTTGTATTAAAATTCTGTTTTATAATCTTTTGGGCTTATGTCTTATGCTTCTACCTATGTTACTCAGCCTTCAAACTCTTGTAATGTTTTTGCATATTTAATGAAGGGAGTTTGCCTTGAAAACCAAAACCGAAAATAAAAAAAAAAAAAAAATACCCACTAAAGAATTGAATTTCTCCAAAATCTTTTTGAATTTAATTTCTAATTTTGTGTGTGGCCTTGTTGAAGAATATGAAACTTGACTAAATAAAATACAAAATATAATGAATGGTTCTACTACTAATAACATCGATGCCTTTTGTGATAAAATCCTACACCTACTTGACTTTGTAGGTGGTTAAGTTGGGGACAATATCGGTGTTGCTAGTAGTGGGCCGATGACCCGTCTCTCTGAATTTAACAAGCATCACTTACTTTTTAATTTATTGATGTGAAGTAAACACATGAATCCTCATAATTGGAATTCAATTCCTGATTCGAATTCTAATTTTTGATTAGTAAACACATCATTAAGTCATTAAGGTGCATTGTTCAAATTATTTAAGCAATGGTTTAATTTTCTTTAAGAGGGACATCCCAGTCAATCCCATCTTTCTAACAAAGATCTTTAGACTAGTACAACTTTCAGGACCGTTATTGGCACTCCATAATAGTCATTATACAGCTTCCAGTTCAATCAAAAGTCATCCTTCAATTAAAACTTGATTTAAACACCCCCTCAAGTTGGAGCATGTATGTCCAATAGATTCAACTTTCCTTTTAATTGTAGGAAAGCTTCCTTGCCCAATTCCTTTGTAAACATATCTCCAATCTGATCTTTGGAAGAAATCAATGCATTACGTAATGAACCATCTTGAATTTTCTCATGAACAACATGGCAATTGATTTCGATGTGTTTGGTTTAGTTCATGATAAATCAGATTTGTTACTATGTACATGGCTGCTTTGTTGTCGCAGTAAAGTATACTGGGAAAATAATGTGATACACCAAATTTTGGTCAAAGATATCATACCCATTGCAGCTCACAAGTGGCTACAGCCATGACCCTATACTTGGCTGACTTCTGAAGAAGACCTAGAGACAATGGGCTGTTTTTTTTTGTTTTCCATGAAACTGGACTTGTACCAAGAAACACACAATAGCCGGTGGTTGATCTTTTTGTCATAGGACAACTTGCCAATTTGAATCACAAAAATCTCATAACTGTAATTCATTATGGAATGGCAATAGGATACATTGACCAGGTGATACTTTTAAGAAATGAAATAAACGTGTAACAACTTTTACATGAAGAAGCCTACTTGAGTCCGTATAGCGATTTGTGTAACTTGCAAACGACATTCTCCCCCTTACGGACATAAGCAGGAGGAGGGTATATCTAGGCTTCTTCATGTAAGTCCCATGCAGTGATGCACTGCTACTAGAAAAAGGGTTTTTGTTCGTTATTATTATCAGTATTATTATACAATCTCATATGTAATGCGCAGTTTTGGACGGAAAATTCATATAGCATAAAGAAGCAAACCAAATGTGTCTGTATCCTATAGCTACTGTCTTACCAACTCTCTCGTTTGTTTTTTGGTTCGTGTCAATAGAAATAAAACCAAATGATAATGACGGGTTTCTTGTTGAAGATCAGTTGGGTGTTGCATTTGGCGAAAATAGTAACCATTTCTATATTTCTGTATGAAGTATCAGCCATATAGAAATTTGGTAGAGTGGAGTCCTCGTACGAAAGTGCTTCAAGGGTAATAAAGGAATAATTCTCAAGAATATTATGCCAAAATTATTGTTTCCTCCATATGATATTGATCATATATTCCATTTGAGGGTGTTTATGTTTTAGTGGGAATCTTTAGAAATCTAGGTAAGATTTTGAGAAAAGAATATGTCTTGTAAAAGAATAAGAAGACAGCAGAAACTTATGGGATATGGCATTGATACTAGAGACAAAGTTTGAGGGCGTCCAAGAGAGAGAGAGAGAGAGAGAGAACACAGGTGGTGTGGTGATAATTGACCTAATTAAATGCAAATTTACATGCAACTTATTAACAACTTTTGGCCTGCAAGCCCACCCTTAATTGTCTTTAGCAAAGGATCTTTGCCCTAATCAAGTTTCCATGAGACATCTTATCTATTTTTTAAATGCCTGAAGGTCGGCATAGTACTTGGCTATCCAACGTTTAATGATCTTCACCTCAATTTTCCGCTGATTTACTAACCAGTCTGGATCAGTAATGTTGTCTGCATTAAGGAGATCCAAGCAATGAGACCCTGCAAAATACAATTTAATTTCATATTATAATATATAAAAAAATTATTTGATATCTCTATCTTTTTGGGTTTTTTTTTCCTTACGTACAAGAAAACAACATTATAGTCATTGATATCCGAAGAGGTGAGTCAAGACACTATTTTTTTTTGGGTGTAATGTGTAATGATAGCGTGAGAGAATGTATACGAGCTGCCCCGAGAAAACTTTCTCAAATGCAACATATTTGAAATGTTACATTTTGTTTTCGGATTTAGCCCTTGTGAAAATAGTGAATTTGGAAGGTACCATTCTTTGCATGGACGGCAACGACGGTGTCTGATATGTCCTCCAACACTCTGCGGTGAGAATTAAACAAACTGTTAAACTTGGTCAAGTAAACATAACGTAAGTTGCTTATTCATGTTCATATGCTTACCCGCCACTACTGTAAGGATCTCTTAGCCCATTGGAGAAAATAATGTTGCTAGCGAACCTTTCAAGTGCTAGTTTTATATCCTGTTTGGCATCACAATTAATTTTTGCTAGCATTAGTTTTCAAATATGAAGAAGAAAAAAGAAGAGTGATATCATTTTGAGAATACATATAATTATAAGATAATTGATTGACACGTACATGGCCTCCAAAGTAAGTAGTGGCCCAATGAGGCCGAGGAGGGACGCCATACTGTGCCTTGCACGATTCGATGTACTCTTTTAGATCGAATTGGTAAGCCGGAAACATGCTGTCGTTGCTGACGGAGGCCATCGGAATCACCATGTCACTACATGTCTAAATACACTACAAATTGTTATAGTCATCACCATATTATAAGGTGTGATTTAATAAAGCTACATTTTCTTTTCTTTTTTGTTTTATTTGAGGAGATACATACAGGTTGGGGAAATGAGTAGGATTTCTACAACATCTTCATTTTTTTTTTTTGTTGTTGTTTGCTGTCGAAAGGATTTTATAAGATTCTGTAAGAATATTTTAATAAAAGCATGTGTTACCACATGATATAACGGACGTGGCATACAGTTATTTGCTGTTTCAACCATTTAATAAACATTATTTGGAAAAATACTATTTGTCAAAGAAAGAAAGTACGTAGTTTTCATTTATATTATGTTGAATTTCTGTTTGGAAAAATATATATATATATATATTTAAGTTTATTGAATTTCTATTTTAGTTATTTTGAATTATAGGTGATGAGTTATGTAGTTTATATATATCGATATATAAAACTTGGCTTGTAGATACTGCAACAAATTTCAAGCAACATGTATAAAAGAAGTGACTTAATAACCATGGAAAAGTAATATGTAACTTGTAAGCAACCTAGCTAGCATGTGTACAAGTCAATGTGATCTCATCTAGATGTTATCAAGGGACCATTCCCACAATCAACATCAAGAACATACACTCTCCAAAACATATGCATCGTGTATTTGGGTTGGCTTATACAGAATTGCGCATGCGCAAAGTTACATATCCACAACTCTGCTGACTAAAGGAATATATTCCATTTTGTGGAACACAATTGTTTATATAAATGATATATAGGTTGAACTTAAATTAAATAAGTTGGTAATTGTCATCGTGACCATTGTTAATACTTTCTAAGTAGATCATAATTATTCGTATCAATAATTAAGATAAGGTGACAAGTTACGTGAATAGTTATAACTAATTACCTGCCAACTCCAGCCCATATCTGTTTCAGTTAAATTTCTGGGTTGATTAACATAGCATGACGTGTTTCCACTAAATGCAACAACGCCGGCAAATATTTTAGTAAGAGTATCATTTCCAGAAGCTCCATCAATGCCCCCACATACAGCAGTGACTGGATATGTTGGTGGACTATTGTATTGAGCTGCGTTACAATACAATTATCCAAGTAGTTCTTCAGCTCGGACGATTTGTTCAAAGGCCTAGAAAAGAAAAGGGGTGACAATAATAGTCAAAATTAACTCTCGTCATTTGTTTATACACACTACCAAGATGTCGTAGGAGTTTGAACCATAAACTCTAACTCTTGTCATTATGTATAAATATCCTACGTAACAAGCAAACGAAAGAGTAATGACAGATTAATCTTTAGAATTAACTCTTGTTATTACGTAAATGACAATAAAACAAAAGAGAAAAGACTTAAACATTAAAATTAACTACTACCAAGAGGCTGACAAGTGGAATTTCTTGATTAAGTAGAAATAACTCCTATAATCATCAGAATTATCTAGCTTATTAGCTAGCTGTTAAGATCATCCCATAATGGAAAGGCTAGCTCTGTGAGCACCTACCTGCAAGTGTGAAATTTCTCACTAAGAAATGAGAGGCCTTCAGGCTGAGAAGCAATTGCATCAATTTCAGACCACGACTTCTTTATAGTTGGTAGCAAGTCTCACTCGCTTCCTACACGTGTGCATGCCAATAAATGGTAATTAGGAGTTTTTTTAATTAAATAAATATTGATGCTAAGACAAACGGGTGAACAAAAGGGAAATATATTACCCAAAAATCTTTGGTAACAATTGAATAATATCCATCCTCCGGGGGAACAATGTTATCAAAGTAAAGAATTGGAGCTGATGAGGCTAGAGCTCCTAGAGCAACATGGGGGTACTTTAGCCGAAACCATGAAGCAAGCACTGCATCAAAAATACAAAATGAGAAAGGAAAAATAATTTAAAACATGGACAAAAACTTTCTGGATACTTAATTAATCAGTCGTATTTGCAGTGATGGGTATGGAATCACTCACTTCCGCCGTACGATGCCCCGATAACAATCACCGGAGAATGCTGAGCATGGAGTTTCTTCTTTACGTGGATGAGGACCTCTGCATAATCTGCTAGTGCTTGGGCTGAGTTGAAGTACCCAAGAGTGTCTGCATTTTGAAATGCCCCTTCCCTTGATCCGAATGGGACTGATTTCCCATAGTACCGGTGCTAGAATGAGAAAAATAAAAGTCTCAAAAGTTACTAAGTAACATATAAGAATTCACCCTAATTAGCGTTTATCTGGCAAGAGAACATTTCCCTATATATATTTATAGATATTTATGTCTATCTATCGGTATGCGATATACATACCTCTATAAATATCTGGAGGGCTTGGAACTGATGGGCGTTCTCACTGAGAAAGCCAATAATAGAGAGATCATCATCAATTGCTTCTTCTTCGCCAAGGTAAGCAAATATTGGTGCACTAACATTGGAGCCACCCCAATGCTTGAAATTGATCAGATATCTTTGTTGAAAAGTATTAAAGCTATCAGGCCTGAAGTTGAAATGGTCAAGCGTTTGGTTATAATAAAATGTTTCAAAATCATTAATTGGATCAGCAGCAGACATAGTTTTCTGCTGGTCGTGTGCAAAATAATTTCCGCGTAAAAATTTGCCTCCATTTGGACTCAGCCGTGGGATATTCAGGTGTGCAGAAGAAACTGAGGTTTTGATATAGAGAGAAACAATTAGCACAAGGCATTGAAGTAAAGACATGAGTAGGTTAATTTTGTAGCAAAATGCTATTGGAGAGTATGAGTTGTGTGTTTTCAGAGCTGTAACTAACAACGGTTATATATAAACTATGAGATATCAAAGAATGGAAGAGAATTATTATTATTTTTCGGTCAACAAGAATAGTAGAGAATATGTCACTGTTTTGACTAGTCAAAATTCAAAGAAAGTATATTTCTAATGGCCGGCGAAAATCGGTGGCCTTACTGGCAACAATATTTAATTACAACAATAATCACTCTGTTTACAATTTAATAAAAGGAAAGAAAACATATATGAGTTTAGCTAAGTTGGTTAGAGCGGATGTGCTCCATATAATTTGCACTTGAGTTCGAATCCATCTCCCCATAGTTTAGATTAGATTAAAGTAGAAGGATACTACTTTGTCTCCTTACCGGTAAGGAGATCCTCTCCCTTCTGCAAATCACAATTTAACACATATGCAAAATAATTCATCAAAAATACAAAAAGAAAACTTCTGCACATATGTCACCTTGCTATTGGCAAGAATATAGTAGCTCCTACTTACCTAGTAAGGAGGGTATTTTCCAAAGTGGAATGCAAGAAACTTGTATGCAAGAAGGGAAAAGTTAATGATAGTCCGTGGAAATTAGAGTCGAGTCCGTTTATGTAACTCTTTTGAGAACAAGAAATTGCGAATTATTGTAGAAATTAGTTTCCTCATTAGAAGTCTGGATTTTAGGAAATTTTCAAGAATCCACAAAATTAATATCATTTTAATTTTAATAATTTTTTATTTATTTATAAAAGCTAACGATATATTAATTATGAGTGCTGCTAAACGAACCCTAAAATAACTGAGTATACCGTATTACCAGCTATTTATTGAATTACTAATTTACCCTATTAGAAAATGACCAAAAAGGGTATATTGAATTGTGAAACAAATGTAATTTTAATAAGTACACCTTATTCAACATATTCAACCCTAATCAAATGACTAGAACCATCTATTTCAGAAATTTTTTGCATTCTTCAAAAGCCATGATTTACAAATCATTCGTTTTTAAAAATCACCAGAAATCAAGTTATTACATCTCCTGGAAATCGCCAGGAATCTTCTTTAGGATAGTTTCCAAGTTTATAGGGTCCCTTATGTATTTCCAATCCAACTTCAAGTTCAAATCAGAATGAGGGATGGACTAAATTTGGTTTTTTTTTTTTTTTTTTTTTTTTTTTTTTCCTTTTTTTAAAAAATACATTTTTTTTATGTTTTTTTTTTTATAAATGACTGGGTGTTCTTGGGTTGTCATGGCTTCAAGGGAGTTCGGGATTTTCGTTCATTTTTTGTGTAGCAGGTTACTAAATGCATGCTCAGGATTTTGTCCATTCAACTTGTTCATTTTCAGTGTTGGATTTCTGGGTAATGGACTTAATTCACTTGAATGATCTTTGACTGTTTCATACTTGATAAAACTTTTTAATTGGGGAATTAATGTCCATCCTTAGTTACTGCTTAGATGTTTTCCTGGTATTGCTAGCAATTCAAAAGCAGAAGAATCTTCAAATTGTGAACACTGATATATATTTTGCATTAGGTTCAGTCAGCTTTCAATATAGAGGGAGGCCAAGAAAAAGCAAATGGGGCATTGAAAAAACTTATGCCGGAGAGGTGAATTGGTGTATTAGGGTGTATCAAGGTATTTTTGGTAGTTAAATAAGGTGTACTTAGTTAATTTTATATTTTAATTTAAATATTAGAGTGTACTTAGATTATAACTTATAACGTATACTTAATTAATTTTAGGATTCGTTTAGCAACACTATATTATTGATAAAATACAATTACAATATTCAAATAAAGAATTCTGTAAGAACTTCTGGAAGTTCCTCAAACTAATTATAAGCATTTATATATAAGACAAAACAAGTCAAACAATGAGCTCAAATCCATTAGAAAAATTGTGAAGATAAATAACACCACCTCTAGTGTCCTCCCAACAAGCCAAACATGAAAACCAGAGTGTTGAAGCTTGTTTTGGTTGTCATGTTTGGTTATATTAGAATGTGAGCATTTAACTTAAAATTAATTAGTGGAGAAATGATGCATACATGGCCTCCAAAGTAAGTAGTGGCCCAATGAGGCCGAGGAGGGACGCCATACTGTGCCTTGCACAATTCGACGTACTCTTTTAGATCGAATTGGTTAGCTGGAAACATGCTGTCGTTGCTGATGCCTATGGGCATCACCATGTCACTACATGTCTAAATAGGTCAACGTCAATTGAAATCTAAGCACTCATAAATGACAATAATATTTTGGCAATATAACAAAGTGGGCAATGAATTTACCAATAATGTGATCTAATGAAGAGATACTTATTTGTCATCGCGGAATTTAGCATAATGAAAAAAGGCACTCATTTATAAATCATAAGTCTCAAATTCGAACAAGATGACATCTAGATTGTGTATATTAAATATATATACATATATATTGAAGTTCATAAATCTGACTTTGTACAAAAGAAAAGTCCCTGAATCGTGAAAGGGAACTCTTTGAATGATTACTTAGCCAGAGTTTTTTGGAAGCAACCTGGCATGCGTGCATATTAATGAATGTGGACCTCATTATAAAGCTAGATATTTTTCATTTATCAAAGTAACAATCAGCATCCAGAATATTTATCCTCCAAAACATGCACCACATATATTTGGGTGGGCACGTAGCACATGTGCAACCTTAGAAAGAAAGATAATAATTGAAGAATGAGGATTCGAACTTTGAGATATCTTTCAACATTTGAAAGAGACATACACATAAAGCAAAATCTAGTTCCTAACTAGATTTTTTTTAGTGGTATTCATCTTTCCGATCTTAAAAGATATCTCAAGTTCGAATTTCCTCTCCTTAATAAAAAAAATCTAGCCAGTTGATCAAATGTATATATCCCTTACCAAATAGTTATCTGGAGTCGAACTTAAATTTTGAACTATAAGTTTTGGTCTTGTAATGTGATCATTGTTATTACTCCTTATTATGTTAGTTCTAATTGATCAATTAAGAAAATATAACAAGATAATTACATTAATAAATAGATAGTTACCTGCCATCTCCACCCTTCATCTGTTTCAGATTTATTTTTGGGTGCGTTAACATAGCATGACTTGTTTCCTCTGTAAGCAACAACACCAGCAAATATTTTGCTTAGAGTATCATTTCCATGAGAAGCTCCATCAATGCCACCACAAACAACAGTAAATGGATATCTTGGTGGGCGATTGTATTGAGCGGCCCCAGTATACAATAACGTCAAGTAGTCCTCCAGCACAGACGACTTCAACAACTGACTGAAAAACAAGAAAACAGGAAAATTTTTGTTTTTATTTATGCAAATATCCCACCATGTAAATATGAAAAGAAAACAAAAGGGTAATGACAAGTTAGTAATTAGAATTAACTATCGTTATGTAAATATCCCAAAATGTAAACAAAAGAGGAATGACAGATAAATCATTAGGATTCGCTTATTTACTGTAGTGCCTCCAATTAATCATCAGAATTAACTCTCGTTATGTTAATGACAAGAACAAAAAAGAGTAATGACAGATTAATCGTTAGGATTAAATTGTTACGTAGATCCCAACATTTAAATGAGAAGAAAACAAAAGAATAATGACAAAAAATCAATAGAATTATTATGTGTAAATGCCAATATCAAAATGACAAGAACACAAAAAAATAAATAAGAGAATCATCAGAATATCCATCTACTTAGCTTAGCTTTTGAGGTTATTATGTAAATCCTATAACATGAAATTTCAAGGCTACCGACAAGCTACCTGCAAGTCTGAAACTTTCTGCTAAGAACTGATAGAACATTTATTAATCGTGTATGCTTCTAGTTAATTAGGCAATTAAACACTCCTATATGGGCACTTCGTTTGCTGAAGGAACCTTTGTGGGGTAGCTGGTCTGTTCTCCCGAGATATTTGCAGCCAAAATGTCCCACATCGACTGCTACAAGAACTTTCTCGCCCTTTATATTGGATGCGGAGGGACATCCGCTTTAACTTGGGGGTGTGGGGCTGGGAAATACACGCGATGCTTAAACCCTAAACCCAAACCCGGTTGATATTATCGGGTAAAAAAGCTAGGGGTCTTTACCCGGTGTTTCCCCCGTGCGGTTAAACAAAGAAACACCGATGCCCCGCGTGTAGAATTCCCACGTTGACCAAATTGCCCCTCGAGAGGTTTGAAGGTGGTACTGCCGCACTTGTTGTATTATACCATACCCAGGTGTCTCGCGGTTACTGGTTTGTCCTCACCTCTCGTGCACCCCCCTTTTTCCCCAAAAAATGAAGAAAAATATGCAAGAAGAATGGATGGAGTTTGTATAGCCTATATTTTTGCGTGACCAATTTGTTGGATCAAAAGTGAAAATTAAAATAACAATCATAGTTTCGGAATGAAACCTCAACTTCTTTCAACCTACAATATCTCTTTTCTCTCTCCACCCTGCATTCCTCTTCATTTGTTTTTGGTTTAATAAAATCTGAAATCCTCTTGCAATGCCAATGACAACCAAATAATAATGGTTGATGGAACTATTGAAAAAATATTTAATGTAACTAATAATCGAAATTAAATGAACCGGCCGGGTATAATTTCTTGCTAGTTCTCCGGAACTATTACTTCCAATCTAGTGATAGCACATAATTTTCAAAAGAGAGTTCACAAATTTAGAAAGAAAAAGAAAACCAAAATACTACTATCCCTAGAGCTGCTTTCAAAGGGTGATCCCTTTACTAAGTAGCTTTCACGCTCCCCAGCCTTCTGACCTGCTCCATTTAATATTTAATAATGAGAATAAGCAGACTAACTTAGACCTTAAGGGGGCAACACCAATACTCACTCGATTGGACAAAACAGACCTGGGTTGACATCAACTTACATGAGCACATGATAAGGTATAACACACCATTACATTAAAAAAGAACAATGTGTAAAACCCAGTGCGAAAATACTCATGGTAAGTTGGGAAGCAAAGTTGGGTAAAAGAAAAAAAACCTAGTTGTTTCAACTTCATGTTCAATTTCGAGTCAAATATATGTACTGTTAAATATGTTTTAGATTTTTAATTGGTTTTGTTTTTCTAAATAATTCTTTTAGTTAGATATCAATTTGGTTATTTTTTCTATATCAAAAGACAAAGTTGAACTTGAAAACATTGAAAGTTTTTGTTGTTGGGAATGATTGAGCGAACTGGAATTCAAACTTGAACCTATTTAACACTAAGAAGATAAATACCACTATATTTAAGATAATTATCGTATATATTGCGATTATAAAACAAATTTATGTCATGGTCTGCAATGACTAAGTAGTTTATGAGTACAAACAATTCGCTACAAAGATAACTTGTAATTTGTGCGAGTAGTTTTCCCTAACCCATCACCTATTAGGACTCAGTGACTCTAGGCCTGTGTATTTTGTCCATATAGATAAATCGTGCTCAAACCTAGTCCATGTGATACCAAATTTCATGACTCATGATTGTGAATGCAAATGGACTTACAAGAAAAATATCTAAAAGCATATATTCTATATGTCCTAAGATGTTATATAGTCTTTCAACGTGAGCCATTTGTGTCATGGTCTAAAGCGATTGAGTGCTTCCCCCATTAAGAACGCCAAAACACGATGTGGACATGGACAACTACGTACTTTTGGATAATCTTGCACTTAGATATGGACATTTTTGCACGTCCAATGAGGTGTTGACCTAAAATTCTTTCGGCCCCTTTTATCAATTTTAAGATAATAAAAGAAATGCCAACGGTGGCTAGCCCAGTAAAAAAGGACATTGACTTACAGATCAGAGGTCTTAAGTTCAAACCCCCATGACATCATAGTTGTGTGCGTGTGTGATGTTGATGTGTAAATTGGTTTTACTGATTTACTTTTACAGTTTTAGCGACATCAAACAAGTCGGCGTTGTCTGAGCTTCGGAAGCTAGATGCAAAAGCACTGGACCTCATCCAATGAGCTCTTTCAGATGAGCTCTTTCCCAGAATTTCCAACAAAGTGACTGCAAAAGGAGCCCGGGATCTGTTACAGCAAGAATACAGAGGAGATTATTGTGTAAGGTCAATCAAATTACAAGGTTTGAGAAGCAATTTTGAGTATACTCGTATGCGTGAAGATGAATCCCTATATGCTTATTTGACTAGATTGTTTGAATTGATAAATGAAATGAAGAGCATGGGTGCTCAAATTAAAAACTCTTATGGAGAGTTGTCTAAGAACAGAATAGTGCATAAATTGTTGATAAGTCTTACTAAGACTTATGACCCTTTTTGCACGGTCATTGAACAGACCAAGGATATGGATGCAATAGAAGTGCAAGAAGTTGTGGCAACTCTGAAAGCGTTCGAGCAAAGGTTTGAGAGGCATTATGAAAATACTGTTGAGAAGGCGTTTGCTAGTATGAGTGTGAAGAGAGCTAGTTCCTCTCCTCTTCAGGTAGTGGTCAGTCCAAGAAGAATTGGAAGACTAACCGAAAGAAGTGGGAGGATAAACTCAATTCGAGTGGAAAGCAAAACTGGAAGAATAAAAACTGGAGGAGTGATCAGTCTAACAAGAATGATTAGAACAAAGGAACCTGTAAGCACGGTAACAAGTTGCATTACTGTGAATGTTGGTTCAAGGATAAAGTCAAGTGTCACTGATGTAGCAAGTTTGGTCATATTGCTAGAAATTGCTCTAGCAATATATAGAACAAGCCCAGACCAGTTGCACATTTTACAGAGAATCAAGCATCAGAGACAACCAACATGTTCTATGCCTCTCACTTACTTTCAAAACCAACTGACTTTGGTGTTTGGTATGTTGATAGTGGGTGCAGTAATCACATGACATCTCACGAATCATTGCTTTCTAACATTGATAGGAGCTTGAAGTGCAAGGTGAAGATGGGAACATGAGAATTAGTTCAAGCTTCGGGAAATGGGACAAGTGTAATTAAGCTGAAGGATGGTCCTAGATATATACAAGAGGTGATGATTGTGCCAGGCTTAGATGAAAATCTTTTTAAGTGTTGGGCAAATGATTGAACATGGCTATATTAGCTGCTATTTGGTGACTTTATTCCAAGACATTTTGTTGTTCCAAAATTTAATAAATGTTTTGAAGAGCCAAAATCAACTTACTAGTTTTGAAGAGAAAGAAAAATGTTGTAGTTTTGATGATTGAGGTTGAAGAGGCTATTGGAAAGGCTTTTGATGTTGTGACTCGCCTATTTTGGTATCCCAAAGCTTTTGAAAAGGTTGTTAGAAATGCTCTTAGTTCGCTTGATGTTACTACATAAGATTTTGAGAAAAAAGAGATTTTTTATTATTAAAAAACAAAACAATACTATAAGAACAGTCACATCCAAGCCGAAATTTTGATTTAATACGTTCTAAACAATAGAAACATTGGGATGACATTGATACAAGAGAAACTAAGGAGTTTTCCGGGATGACACAGAAAAACTTGTAACCTGGATTGCCCTAATGTATTCCTTCCACGGTTTTAATTGTTTGAAGTGGTATCGATTTATTATTTGAATATGCCCGCAGCTCGGCATAATAATTGGACAACCATCCTTTAATAATCTTCACCTCAACTTTCCGCTGATTCACCAACCAGTCTGGATCAGTAGTACTTGCACCAACTATATCCAAGCAATGAGACCCTGTAAAATAACGTTAATTAATTTCACATATACAGTCCCCTTCAGTAGAAGGTCAGCCCTATAAAAAAAAAGTTCTCAAATATATACGGCCTGCCGTATCAAAAAATTTCTCAAATATAATTTATTTGAAGTGTCTCATTATGTACCATTTTTTGTATGGATTGCAACGACCGTGTCTGATATGTTCTCCAACACCCTGTGTGATAAGAAATATTACAAACTGTTAAACTTGGTGGAGTAAACTTGAAATATGTTGTTTATCAAAATAATAACAATTTGAATTTGGTTTGTGTAGTCATTTTTATGCTTACCCTCCACTACTGTAAGGGTCTCTTAGCCCATTGGAGAAAATGATGTTGCTAGCGAACCTGGAGAGAACCAGTTTTATATCCTGTTCGGAATAAAATTTGTTAGCATTAAAAACTACATATTAAAATGAAGGTCTGAAGATTTTTGATACATACATGGCCTCCAAAGTAAGTAGTGGCCCAATGAGGCCGAGGAGGGACACCATACTGTGCCTCGCACGATTCGACGTACTCTTTTAGATCGAATTGGTTAGCTGGAAACATGCTGTCGTTGCTGATGCCTATGGGTATCACCATGTCACTACATGTCTAAATAGGTCAACGTCAATTGAAATCTAAGCACTCATAAATGACAATAATATATATTTTAGCAATATAACAAAGTGGGCAATTACCAATAATGTGATCTAATGAAGAGATACTTATTTGTCATCGCGGAATTTAGCCTAATGAAAAAGGCACTCATTTATAAATCATAGGTCTCAGATTCGAACAACATGACATCTTGATTGTGTATATTAAATATACACATATATATTGAAGTTCATAAATCTGACTTTGTACAAAAGAAAAGTCCCTGAATCGTGAAAGGCAACTCTTTGAATGATTACTTAGCCAGATTTTTTTGGAAGCAACCTGGCATGCGTGCATATTAATGAATGTGGACCTCATTATAAAGCTAGATATTTTTCATTTATCAAAGTAACAATCAGCATCCAGAATATTTATCCTCCAAAACATGCACCACATATATTTGGGTGGGCACGTAGCACATGTGCAACCTTAGAAAGAAAGATAATAATTGAAGAATGAGGATTCGAACTTTGAGATATCTTTCAACATTTGAAAGAGACATACACATAAAGCAAAATCTAGTTCTTAACTAGATTGTTTCTTTAGTGGTATTCATCTTTCTGATCTTAAAAGAGATCTCAAGTTCGAATTTCCACTCCTTAATAAAAAAAAATCTAGCTAGTTGATCAAATGTATATATCCCTTACCAAATAGTTATCTGGAGTCGAACTTAAATTTTGAACTATAAGTTTTGGTCTTGTAATGTGATCATTGTTATTACTCCTTATTATGTTAGTTCTAATTGATCAATTAAGAAAATATAACAAGATAATTACATTAATAAATAGATAGTTACCTGCCATCTCCACCCTACATCTGTTTCAGATTTATTTTTGGGTGCGTTAACATAGCATGACTTGTTTCCTCTGTAAGCAACAACACCAGCAAATATTTTGCTTAGAGTGTCATTTCCATGAGAAGCTCCATCAATGCCACCACAGACAACAGTAACGGGATATCTTGGTGGGCGATTGTATTGAGCGGCCCCAGTATACATTAACATCAAGTAGTCCTCCAGCACAGACGACTTCAACAACTGGCTGAAAAACAAGAAAACAGGAAAACTTTTGTTTTTATTTATGCAAATATCCCACCATGTAAATATGACAAGAAAACAAAAGGGTAATGACAAGTTAGTAATTAGAATTAACTATCGTTATGTAAATATCCCAAAATGTAAACAAAAGAGGAATGGCAGATAAATCATTAGGATTCGCTTATTTACTGTAGTGTCTCCAATTAATCATCAGAATTAACTCTCGTTATGTTAATGACAAGAACAAAAGAGTGTAATGACAGATTAATCGTTAGGATTAAATTGTTACGTAGATCCCAACATTTAAATGAGAAGAAAACAAAAGAATAATGACAAAATCAATAGAATTATTATGTAAATGCCAATATCAAAATGACAAGAACACAAAAAAATAAATAAGAGAATCATCAGAATATCCATCTACTTAGCTTAGCTTTTGAGGTTATTATGTAAATCCTATAACGTGAAATTTCAAGGCTACCGACAAGCTACCTGCAAGTCTGAAACTTTCTGCTAAGAACTGATAGGCCTTCAGGCTGAGAAGCAATCTCATCAATTTCAGACCACGACTTTTTAATCGTTTGGTAGCAAGTCTCACTAACTTCCTGCACACGCATGCATGCCCTTAAATCATAAATATTAGAAGTTTTTCTTTACTAAAAATACTAATTAATTTACATAATATATATTGATGTTAAGAAAAAAAAGTAGACAGAGAAAAAGAAATTACTCGAAAATCCTTGGTAGCAATGGAATAATATCCCTTTTCTGGTGGAATAATGTTATCAAAGTAAAGGATTGGAGCTGATGAGGCAAGAGCTCCTAGAGCGACATGGGGATATTTTAGCCGAAACCAAGAAGCAAGCACTGTGTAAAAAGGAAAATAGAAAATCAAAACGGAGAGCTAAAAACATGGTCACAAAATTACTTAAACTTAATTACTAATTAGCAGACACCTACTTCCACCATATGATCCACCGATAACAATCACCGGAGAATGTTCGGCACGGAGTTGTTTCTTTACATGTATGAGGATCTCTGCATAATCTGCTATTGCCTGGGCTGAGTTGAAGTACCCAAGAGTGCTTGCATTCTGAAATGCTTCCTTCCTTGATCCGAATGGGATGGACTTCCCATAGTACCGGTGCTAATTAAGGAGAAAAACAAAAGTCTCAGAGAAAGTAGCATATATATAAGAACTCACTTGATCAACAGTTCAGATTAATACTTTGATTGATCTGGCAAGAGAACAATTTACTACACACAAGTAGCCCTATACGTCGACACGAATTTCTTTCCATACATACCTCTATAAATATCTGGAGAGCTTGTAACTGATTGGCGTTTTCACTGAGAAATCCAATACTAGATAGATCTTCATCAATTGGTTCTTCTGCGCCCAAGTAAGCCAATATTGGTGCACTAACATTGGAGCTGCCCCAATACTTGGAATTGATCAAATATCTTTGTTGAAAAGTGGAGAAGCTATCAGGCCTATAGTTGAAATGGTCAAGTGTTTGTTCGTAATAAAAGGTTTCAAAATCGTTTGGATCAAAGTTAGACAAAGCTTTGGGTTGGCCGTCTGCAAAATAATTTCCATGTTCAAATGTTCTTCCAGTTGGACTCAGCCTTGGGATGTTTAAGGGTGAAGCAGAAACTGGGGATGTGATAAATAGAGAAATTGTAATTAGAAGGCATTGAAGTAAAGATATAAGTGGGTTCATGGCAAGGTTTCAGTTGTGTGTTTCTGACCTGATTCTGAGCAGTCATATGGCTATATATACTATGAGAGCTCAAAGAATAGAAGAGATTATGGCATATATTGTATTGACTTTATAATGGCCAGCTACAGATAAAAGTACTTAATTACAAAAAATCAGAAACCATCTACTCTTTCATCAACTTAATAAAAGCACAAAATCCAACTGGTCTAGTGCAGTAAAAAAGGACCTTGACTTCTATATCAGTGGTCTTAGGTTCAAATACTCATATCACTTTAGACTATCGTTTGTATTTATAAAAATAAATAAATTAAAAGCACAAAAAGCCCTTTAAGAAAATAAATTAAAATAGAAGCACAAAAAGAAAAGAAAAAGTGGGGATAGTCAATGATGATAGTCCTTGCATATATGATTTTGGACAGGAATTCAGCAAAGAACTTTAAGTAAAGATCTAGAGGAAATTTTATTGCTTCTCCCCACTATTGAGGACACCCACCTAAAATATTAATATGAAAATAGAATTTGTCCTAACATAATCGATGTGCAACTAAGCCGGGAAAATCATGTTTGTTTGGTCAATGGCCTACTATCATAATCTAATGAATAATTCCCTATGATGGAATTAGATAATTGGGTAAACATGCTTTTCCAATTTATGTAAATTTTCCAGTCTAGATATATTAGTAATATTAGATCGATCTTTAATAAAAAATAGAGTTTCCAAACTGAGCGAAAAGAAAAAAATGAGCAACATATCATTACTTAAGAAAGGCTAAAAGTCAATTTTGGTCCCTGTAGTTTGGCACTTCAACTATTTTTAACCCCTTAGTTTCAATTCTGTTAATTTTGACCATGTAGTTTCGTATTTGTAGCAATTCAAGGACAAATTAGTATTCCTGTCAATTTTTTTCACAATGCAATAGGCAATTTCGTCAACCCAAAATCATTGAGCATAAAAGCTCATTGAAACTCCCCAAATTTCATATTATTAACGCTTGAAATTGGTCATTTGGGTTTAGGGTTCTTCAAAAATTGGGATTAGTGTCTAAATTTCGAGCCCTAATATGAAATGAGGAGAATTTCAAACAAGCTTTTAAGCTCAAGGGTTTTGGATTGACGAAATTACCCCTTGCATCGTTAAAAACATTGACAAGAATATTAACATGTCCTTGAATTGCTACAAATATGAAACTACTATAGCAAAATTGACGGAATTGAAACTACATGGTCAAAAGTAGTTGAAGTGTTAAATTACATGGACCAAAAGTGACTTTTGGCCCTTAAGAAAGGGTTAATTTCAGTTTGGTAACATGAAGTTGTACTCTTAAGACATGTTTGTCTATGGACTTTCAATTTTAACAATGCAGTATCCTAGTATTGAAAATTTGTTGCAATGTGGTTATGTCATTAAATTGACTGTTAAAAAAGATGTTAAGTGCTGACGTGGTGCATGTGAGACCCACTTTTTTGTTTAATTGAAATAAAATATTATTAAAGAACTATAATTACATTTAATAAATAATTATTAAATATAAAAAAAACCGAAAAAGCCAAAAAAAGAAAGGGCTAATATCAAAAGATCCCCTTAAGGTTTGGGGTCATTCTCAATATGGGCTTCTGGGTTTCAATTTCATAATTTTACACCCCATAATTTTTAAATTTGACAAATTTAAAACTTTCGTTAAGTTGACCGTTTGGTTAGACGTTAAATGCTGACGTGTCCATTGTGGAACCCACACACTAACCAACTAGTCCCTAAATATTTTTATATAAAATGATAAAATAACATTTTTTTTATTAAAAAAAAAGCTTAAACAAAACCCAACCTCTCCCCTGCCCAAAACCTAACCCAGTTCTCTGGCGATTTTGGACATTGAATTCTTTAAACAGATTCATCACTGCAATGAAACTGCGCGGAGCGAAATTGTTAATCGCCAGTGTGATCATAATGTACGCTGAGAAATGGCTATGAGATCTCATCTGAGACCATTCCAGCACCGACGCGAACTCGGCTGTTTCGGACGACTCCGATCTCCGAATCCGGCAACGTGAGCTTCTAGAAGCGATAGTTTCTCTCTTGTCGTCCGAGAAAGCGGCGATGCCAATAAGCTTCCCCTAATGCCTTCTCATATATGTGACCTTCCTCAAGGCCTTGAGTGCGTGTGCAAGACTGAGCTAGAGAAGCAGATCTCGGCAATATTGGAGCATGTAACCGTTGACGACCTCCTGGTGCTATCATTCACCTACGACGGCAAGAGGCTTTTCGATCTCGAGAGCGTGAGGAAGATCATCTCCGAGTTCGTAGAAAAGGAGAAGAGCGTCGCGGTCTCCAGCCGACGCTAGAGAAAGAGAGAGGGACATAAAGAAGGTTAGTGCTGGGGTTGGTGTGGGGCGAGAGGGGGGTGAACAGGGGCACTGGGTTTGTTGGGCAGGGGAGAAGCTGGGTTTTTTAAAGCTTTTTCTTTTAAATTTTTTGTTGTTGTTATTTTATCATTTTATACAAAAAAAATATAGGGACTGATTGGTTAGTGGGTGAGTTCCACAATAGACACATTAGCATTTAACATCTGACCAAACAGTCAACTTAACGGAAGGTTTAAATTGGTCAAATTTGAAAATTATGGGGGTGTAAAATGATGAAATTAAAACTCAGGGGCCTATATTGAGAATGACCCCAAACCTCCACAGGGGTCTTTTTATGTTATCCAAAAAAAAAACTATTGCTCTATCACTTTCTCTCTCTGTGTGGGAAAAACTCAGTGGCTTAAACTCCATTGCCGCTGCCCAGCTCCTCCCCACACCCAAATCCATCGTTCTCTCTCTCTCTCTCTCTCTCTCTCTCTCTCTCTCTCTCTCTCTCTCTCTCTCTCTCTCTCTCTCTCTCTCTCTCTCTCCAAGGCCTCAGCTTAACTGTGGCGACGATTTTGATGAGGCAAAATAAGAGCCGTGCTGGAGAATTTTGAGAGGTCTGTGACACGAGTCCAAGACCATGAGAGTAGGGCTGATGTTATGGTTCGGCGATGGTCGTCAAGGAGAGTGAGGAGCTTGGCGGCGGCTGGCTAGAGCAGGCGAGCCCTCCCAATCTATTTCCATAGTCACTTCAGACTTAGTGTAAGAGAGAATGTTGGATTTGTAGTGGAGGAATTGGGTAATGTCGCGAGAGAGAGGATTTAGGCAGTGGGCTTGGTGAATGTGAGAGAGAGAGAGAGAGAGAGAGAGAGAGAGAGAGAGAGAGAGAGAGAGAGAGAGAGAGAACACAAGAACAAAACAAAAAATTTGGATTGTATATCATTGTCAAGGAAAAAAAAAGGTTCCTAGTTGTTCAAGCCCAAAAAGTCAAGGGAAGCCCAAAGACATTTAAAGCCCAATATAACATATAATGTCGGTCATGCATTAATCCAAGCTGTATTTTGGGATTTAATTCATTAAATAAATATAGAAATAGTATACATGCCATGCCAAACTAATAATACATTTTTCCCATGTCGATCACCTATCAAGCTCACATGAACCCAAGTTATGTGGTTTACGGGGCTTGAGGGATTGTGGTGTGGAAGGTTACGGAGATCCACAAGGCCCACAAAAGCTTTCGAATAATAGAGACTTTGGGCTATCTACTTGGGAGCACCAAAGTCTAAGTCCATTACTTAGAGTTCTCCAATGTGGTTGAGCAAATGAGATATTTTTCAAGCACTTCCTTTTACCCATAGGAAATAGTCATTTTCCAAATACCTAGCTTTACCTATTGGAAACAAGCCTTTTCCAGCACTTCCTATTACCCACTGGAAACAAGCAGTTTCTAGTGCTTCCTTTTACCCATAGGAAATAATCAGTTTATGGTACCTAGATTTACATGCTAGAAAATAGTATGCCCCAGAGCTCCCTTTTAACCTCTGGAAATAGGCTATTTCCAGCACCTCCTTTTACCTATTGGAAATAAAGGAAAACCCTCACCCTCTATAAATTGGCATTCATGGCTCAAGCAAAGGGCACCATTTTTTCTTCAGCCAACACTCCTCACTCGACTGCTGCAAGCATCCCAGCTGCCATAATCCCCTCTTGGTTGCTGCAAGCTTCTCAGTAACCATGAGAACTCACATTTTCTTAATTGTTGCAAGTATTCCAGTAGCCTTCACAGTCATTCCTCAACCATCATAACCATGTCTTCTACTTTCTCACCCTCGAAATCCATCATCTTCTCCATAAAGCCTCACCAAGCATAACTCCAAGCTTTTTTCTTCCTTCCAAGCTATAAACACCATAGCTTTCAAACCTCAAGTTTTTCCTCTCATCCTCCTTCTCTTGAAACTCTCAAATCCCCATAGCCATAGCCACAAACAACAGATTATCAGCACCCAAACTCATGCATATCTAACACCAAGCCAAGCACATGCATTCTCATTTGCTAAACTTGTGGGTTTTTAGCTCCCACACTCCAAGCTCTCATGCCAAGCCTAGTAGTACCTTGATTCACCAAGCAAACTCTCATGCCAAGCCTGTGCAACATCAATGCACCATTTTCAACTCTTCATCAAGCTGCTGAAAACATCAGCACAAAACACGCAGCCACTGGAAGAAGAACAAAGTACTCCCCTGGGACTTGCTTCTCTCTCGGGGTACTTTGGGCCTAGTTCTTGCTAACTCAGAAAAAGGGGCATTGAAGGCTTGATTCATCACTCTATGGCGGTCCAAGAATCAATAAGCCCGGATGAGCTTTCCAACGAAAAAGACCCCAACAATAGTTACTTTGATTTTGAATTTTAAATCAAACAAATATGTGTACTGTTAATTGAATGGGTTTTAAATTCTTAATTTGATTTATTTTTTCTATGCAAAATAGTTTTTATTTATTTATAAATATAAGCGATAGTTTAAACTATAAGAAGGAAGGGGGTTTCACACACTCCAAAGGTGTTATAGGGGTTCGAGCCTAAGAGTAAGAGCATCTACAATCATGCTCTCTATTTTTTAGTTAAAACTTAGCTAAAAATATATGAAAGCTATTTTATGAGCTCTTTATAAACTTTTGACTCCAATCATACTCTCTAGTTTTAGGGGTCATAAATGCTTTAATTCTTTTTTAATTGGTCAATCTCTATAAAATATATACATATATAATAGTTAGCACTTATATAACTTTTTTTTAATTGGTCAATCTATATATATAATAGTTAGCATTAATTAAATGTTTAAAATACTCATACAATAAAACAGTATTAAATTATAGGGAGCCACTAGAAGTTCTTTCTCTCTCCTCAAATTTAGGAGCTCCTAGAAGTCTCCATATTTTAGGAGGTGGATAGGGAGCATGGTTGAAGTTATATTTTTCCAATTCCTTCCTAAAATTTCTCTAAGGATGTGATTTAGGGAGCCTATTGTGGATGCTCGAAGACCATTGATATAGAAGTTAAAGCCTTTTTTCCCCTGGGATATACCTTGTTGGTCAAAATAGTATTCTTTTAGGTAAATATCAATGTTGCTAGTTTTTGTCTATCAAAAAACAAGGTTGAGTTTGAAATTATATGCATTGGCTAACTCATGAGTACAACCCTTCCCTACATAATAGCTATAATTTTGTGCCTTTATGTTTTATGGCCCCGTCATATGTCCATAGATAAGACTAATGTGTACTTAAGTTTAACCCATATATAGGTTATCTTTCTAGTCATCTTTCTTGTATATATTTGTTGAGACCCAAAAAATTAAAGGCTGGGCCCAAATATATTTCTAACCCAGTACAACACCTAACTTGGGAAGAAACCCAACTTGGGTACGCAAGAGTTCGTCATATGCGCTTGCACACGTGCCACGCCAAGCAAATAAGCAACATGGCCAAAGACACACGTTTACAGGCTGCTGGGAATCTCCAGCACATGGCCAAAGACAAATCCCAACACAAGCCATCAAAAAACCAAAGGATACTTGACCCTTCAAACTAGCGCCTTTACCCATTTCTTTCTCCTACCAGCACCTGCCATGGAAGAGGGAATGAAAGAAGGTGAGGAGGTAGCCAAAAATGGGAGTTCATTATTGAAGTAGCTGCGGGAAAGCCTAAGAGTTCCCAAAAATCTTGTTTTTGTGTGTTTGGACAGAGGAAGATTTCACAAAATGGGATGAGTCAAAGGGAAAGAAGAGAAATGAAATAGGAGACTTGGCAAAATTGGAGAGAACCAACTAGGGTTTTCTTGGAAAAAATGAGCTTCCAGCGCCTATAAAAGGAAGGCACATTCTACCCACCAAAACAACTCAAAAAAAAAAAGGGCAAGCAACCCATATCCAGAGAGCAAGCTTCATCTCTCATCTCTTAAACGTCTGCAATTTCGAGCCTCATTTCTCTATCTTCTCCTATTTTCTCCTCTGGTAAATCGTTCCAGAGCTTGACAGAGCTTTCGTCAAGCTGCTAGAAACTACTCAACACACCCATTGTTATTCCCCAATCTCTCTCTCTTTAACGAACCCCTTTAGAATCCCTTCCCCCTAGCCTTAAAAACTCTGTTTCTCATAGGAAATCACAGCTCTTTCCCTCTCTCTCATGCTAAACTTATGAATGCTCAGCTCCCATGCCACAAGCTTCTCATGCCAAGCCTAGAGTTTATCTGTAAGCGACTGTTGTTTTTGTTGGTGAAGATAACCAGGGTGCTTCCTAAGGCTTCACTACCCTTTCGAAGCATTCTTCGGGTCTGATTCACGAACTTAGACACAGGGGGTAATTTCACACATTTGCTCCTTAAGGCAGCCCATCCCATTTGTAGCTGCCGGAACGAAAAAGCCCCCACAACATTCTAAGAGCATCTCTAACCAATATGTCAAATTGCCATGTGGATATGAAATGACAAAAATTAAAAGTTAAAATTGCTCAAACAGAGCAGTCAAATCCTACATGAATTTGAATGCTGAGAGAGATATACCAAAACCTATTCCATGTGATATCAAAGTGAATAGAACTTGTTCCTACAAATTCGACTAAGAAAAAGATACCAAAGAGCATCTCCAATGCATATGTCAAATACAAAACACTTAATTTGAATTTGATGGTTGATGTGGCTATTTGACATGTTGTATAACTTTATACTCCATCCGAAAGGTTAAAAAATACTAATATTTTTCAATAGGTTTAAAAAACAATAAAAGCTGGTAGGGCCAAAAGAATTAAAAAAATTTAGTGGCACCAATCAAAGACAATAAACAGTAATGGTAATTAAAGCTAAGTGGGGCCAAAGGAAATAAAAGATTCAAAACAAGGAAATAACACCTCAGTATGTTGGCATCAATTTTAACGTCTTTGCCCCAGCCTTCTTTTTCATGTCAGCAATGACAACTCGGTTGGATCTCCAAGTAGCTTCAATTGTTACCGTTTGCTAGGGGTGGCAATTTCGAACACGACCCGATACACGACTCGAAACCCGCACAATAAATTAGCGGGTTCAACCCGCACGATAAAAAAAGAAGGTCAATTTCGAGTCAACCCGTTTAATAAACGGGTGCGCATGATAAAAAAAAGAAGGTCAATTTCGAGTCAACCCGTTTAATAAACGGGTGGGTTTCGGGTCAACCCGCTATAATACATGTCTAACCCGTTTATTAAACGGGACGTGTCAACCCATTTAATACACGCCAACCCGCAAAAAAATGAAGAGAAATGTAGAGTTCAACACGCACACAAGGGGTTTCAAACCTCCACCACCCTCATTCCTCTCCAACACTTTATCCACCATGTTACATACAACTTTGTGATTATATACTCTGTCTTTTGATATTTATAATGTTTCTTTTTCTTCTTTTGTTTTCCGTCTATCTTCTCCTCTCTTTTTTCCTTTCTTTTCCTTCTCTCTTCTCTCCTCTCTTTTTTTTCTTTCTTTTCCTTCTCTTTAGTTTTCTCTCCTCTATTTTTTATTTATTTTTTATTTCTTTCCTTCTCTCTTCTCTCCTCTCTCTATCTTTTTTTTTTCTTTCTTTTCCTTATATTTTCTCTCCTCTCTCCGTTTTTTTTTATTTAAATTTTTTTAGTTGCGAGTTTTGTAACATGCTTGTTATTATTTATGAACCCGTTACACGACTTGAAACCCGCACGATAAAAGACGACCCGAACCCGACACGACACGTTTATTAAATGGGTTGGGTTTGGGTTGAGCATTCTTGACACATTTATTATCCCGACACGACACGACAAGACCCATTGCCAGCCCTACCGTTTGCTATGCCACCTGTCATTTAACTGGTTGGTTGGAGATGCTCTAAGAGTTCGTATATTATTTTTTTGTACATACATTAGCGCATGTGAGACATTTGTGATAAGATGAGAGTTTCCCGCATTAAGAATGAACCGAAACACACGATGTGTACATGAATAACCTTATATACTTTTGTATACTTTTATATATATATATATATATATATATAATGGATGACTGTATGGAATACGCATGTGTTATCATCTCACAAGTAGGATGACTTCATAAATTTCTTATGTTCTCTTTTGGTTACTAATTTGTTCAAGTTCAAGTTTTGACGACCATCCAAATTTCAGTGAATGATGCCAGTCATGACATTTGCTATGGTTTTACGTTTCTTATCCTGAAGGTGGAGTTTTCAAGCTTATGGAACATGAGGATTAGAATTTTCAAATAGGACTGATTTGCAATTGTGCGGTATCAAATATGGATGGCATCGAGTGTTGGAAATAACCTAATCCTCATGCAGTAAACAACCAGCAGATAGGCAAACACAAGTCGTGTGATGTTTATTTATCCAAAAAAAAAAGGGGGTCATTTATAATGTCATATCTATGTTTAAATCGGTAAAAAACAAATGGATTCTATTCTATTGTATTTGAGTTGCCAACGGAATCTAACCTAGTTGAAAAAACCTTGACTTGAAGATGAGTGGTCTCAGGCCTCGAACCCTTTCCTAACTTTGGCAAACAAAAAACAAAAATTATATTTGAGTTAATTTTTTTTAATAATAAGCACCCTTTTAAAATACCAATATCCACTTGACTTTGCGTTCTATCAATAAGAGCACCTCCACCCCAAAGAGGGACAAGGCAAAGGCAAGGCAAAGTTTGTCACTATTCACGTAAATAGTAGTAGCCCCTGCTTTTTTTGTTTCCACCCTAAGAGCATCTCCAGCGTGCAGCCTTTTGCCAGGGTAGGAGGCCCTTTTTGAAGGGTTTGGACCTCCAGCGCGCAACCAACAGCCATGGCAAGGCCTAGGTCCCACCAGCCCGAGTAAGCCTAAAGACTGATTCTACCTGGGCTTCAGCCAGAAAGTGCTGACGTCGGCAGTGACGTCACACTAACGTCAGCGAGCAAAAAAAAATAAAAAAAAAGGAAAAAAAATTCACTTTTAAAAAAAAAAATATATATATATATATACCAAAAAATTATAGATGTTTTCCCTATAAATACATAACAAGTTTATATTTTGTTACATATTCTTTTTTTTTCTTGCCCTTGCCCTAGTTTTTTTGGGTGGAACCAAAACAGGCAAGGCTGCCACTATTCACATAAGTAGTAGCAGCCCTTGCCTTAGCCCTTAGGAGTGGTGCAAAGACAATGGCAATTACTATTCATTTTAATTTATTTTGTATTTTTTATACTTAAACCATTAATTTTGACATTGGAAGTAAAGAATATGACTAGTTATTTATATTTTAAAAAATTCTGAAATTCTTGATTTTTTTTTCTATTTTTCTATTTTTTTTAATTACCGACATCATTAATGACGTCATCAAACCCAGGCTAAATTTGCCTTCAATCCCGCCCAGGCTTGTGGACCCCATTAACTGCCCGGTCTTGACGTTGCGTGCTAGAGCCAATTGCTGGGCTTAGGCCCCCTCCTGCCCGGGCAAAAGAGCAGCGCTGGAAGTTCTCTAAGCTCTGATGGATCCATATCAAATAGAACATCCAAGACCCATATTAAAATAAACAAATTTCAACAAGATGAGAAAACTCTGAATTGTTCAAAGGAAAAGACAAAATTCAATCAATTATGACAACAAAGAAAATAGTGAAATTTATTGTTGTCTGACTCCACTCAAAACCCTCTCTACTACTACAGCAACGCAATTACACATCAACTCCAACAAATCTGCAATGTGCACTGAAGAAACTAGGCCTGATGGCAACAATCCTCATAACTCACCAAAGAATAAAAGCCGCTTTACACAATAAATATGTATAACTATGATACAAGAATTGACACCACAAGCACAACAAAAGAAACGATAAATAGAAGCCGCACACTTGCATGCGCACAAAAAAACTTAGAACAAGAAAACAAAAATTAATAATGAGCATGCAACATTGAAAGCACCATCAAGCGCACCATCACTTAACTCGACTAGCAGCAGTAGTACATAAGATACAACGCATACGAGAGTCACCCGATTGGGTATCATCATCATCTTCTTCCACAACACTACCATACTCATAATCTGCTACTCTGTCACTGGAAGTGGCCCCACTCCCTTTTATTCCACTAGTATAGGTGGAATCCATAAGACAAGTCATGTGATAAGCATGACAGCAAAAGAAAACGATGACATTAAGGCTTTGTATAGAAAAGGGATCGAAACACATGCAACACCTTGCACCACCCCTAGGTTTTGATTTAACCTCCATACTTCTCACACCTGGTGATTTCTCAATCACCTGAGAAGCCCTACTATCATTCCTTTTCGTCCGTGCCTCATCTTCTTCATTGCTCAAGTAAATTCCATGTATTGCCTCTTTGTAGTATTTGACCAAGAGGTTGACAATATCAGCCTGTTTCCCAATTACACCCAGTGTCAGAATTTTTACACCATGCTCTATTCAAATCTAACAAACTTAATTGGAAGACAGGAGTACCTTAAGGATATCATTGCACCCATGTCTTAGAGATGTTTCAGTCCTGTAATTGGTGATGATTTTCACTAGGCGATCCCTAAGCCTGAAACCGAAAATTGCACAAGGTCAATGCAAATACTTCTATAAAGACTACTCCAGAACCTTCGTATTTATCACTGACAAATATCCAGGTCATGTTATGTTAAGAGTATAGCAAGTTCCAGCATATATACAAACACAGATGTGTATACATAAGCACATACGAAAATATGTATAACGTACCCATATGAGCTTCCTATACACTAAGACGTATAACACAAAGATATATGTTGAAACTTGCTTCCATATGTGCAATATGTGTGTACAATGCATACATAATGCATGCATATGTGTATGTACAGTTGCACGGTTGCACCAAACATCTTTATTTATGTCTATCTATATGGATTCTCCTTGTCATGGCACAAGCTGAACAACTTTTTAAAATGTATCGTTTGACTTTCACTAACATATAAAAAGAAAACATGGTAGTTCTTGGACCTGTGATATACATATATGAATGACATTGAAAGTCAAGCAATCTAAAGACAAGAAATGGATCTCTGTCTATGTGTGTGTATTTATTTATCTAATCTAAAGAAGCTACTCTTTCTTCCATCTAGAGGATATCTACAGATGAGGGCGAGCATGCATTACAAACAGGTCAGGACTTCTCACAGAAAAAAATGTAACATAATTAATGCTATGATTATGCATGCGAGGCACAAGATTGTACCACCAGAACGGATGTCAACAAACATTATGAAGAATCCTGTAAGTTTCATTCTTAAAATGCCAACAGTCATATATGCTAGGAATTATGGGGAAACAAAGAATTCTATTAATTGATAGAAATAGGAATATAAGAAAGTAGCATTAAAACGAACACCACAAAATTCTGATCGAACTGACCTAGGAATCTCCAACCCATTAGGAACCATATTCACTATATATAGAGGATCTAGATTTCCAACCGTGTGCTCCAAAAGCACGCCTACCTGTCAATTAGTGGACGAAATTTTAGAGGAACTTGAAGAGGACAAGTAGATATATCCAATTACCACGATGTAGATAAACACTAGATCGGCAGACTAGGGAGAACAAATACCATTTCAGGTTTATGAAGACACTGCTGAATTAATTCTTCCCAAAGTTCATCATCATGTTGCATATTTACAAACTCCACAGCCTGTACACAGCCATAACATTCATCGTTATCACCCCACACTTCACAGTAAAGAGATAAAAATAACCCCAAAGGAACAACTGAAGCAATCTGTTGAAAGAAAATCCTCTTCAACATTAAGAGGACATTAGGTACCTCTTCAATATCCCCAAGATTATTTATGATTACAGAAAGGGCTTGTTTCGCATTTCCCATTCTTCCAAGAATGAAGACTTGCTCCCTTAAAAGGCCTCTTCCAATACAAATTTCATATGCCTGTGAAGTATATTCAAAAATCAATTCATTGAAAAACATTAAGTTTATCCTAATTGATCATTTATTAACTGTTCAAACCTTCTCAAGTTTATAATGTTGACTACTACGAAGAAAAGGAAGTAGCATCTTTGAATCGTAGTCTGCATAAAGCTCTACCTACCACAGTAAACAAACGACAGCACAAGTGTTAAACAATGTGCATAAAAGCAAACACATAGATTAAACTTCACCAAACAGCACAAACTATTGTGATAACCTAACACAAGCTATTGCACAAGAAGGAAAAGAGTACAACCTCATACAATACATTCTAAGCAAGGCATGTAACAATTGAAATAGATATCTTAAGGAAGCCTCTTAAAAACAAACCACTATTGCAAACTATATAGTACCTAATACATTTTTTTAAGCAATAACAAAGATCTGCAACTTCAATTTCATTCATTCCATATCGAAACGATGTAAGCAAGACAGTAATATAAAGATCTACTCCTAAACAGCAAACCCAGTTGTTTCTTGAAGAACTTGGAAAATACTTGAGGACAACATAATGGCAGGTCAGATCCAACCACAAGTGATTGAAGATATAATAACCACATTTTAGATGCATTAGGATTTAGGTGAGTTAGTGATCAGTTTACACATAACGAGGTTGAGGGCCGCCATTGTAGGAATTGCAAGTAATAGGCGTCTGAAGAAGATGAGACAGAAGAGGCAGGAAAATGTATGAAATCAATTCAAAAAACTCATAGTACCTAGGAGTAACCAAAAAGAAGGTGGAAAAGCATAAGATATCTGAAAACAAGAAAAGCTGCATCTACTATTCCATGTGAACCCCTCCTTAATCTTGTTTATCACAAATCCCGAGTGTTCAAATTGCATGAGAAAGTACTCTTTTTTCTTCAACCAAAAGAGAGGGAAATGAAAAGGCATGTATCATGCATTTATGAATCTAGTAAACTTAGAAAGAGAATTTTAATACAATATCCAGGAGGCTGCAAGAGTTTCCAAAAGATCCCAGAGACCCAGTTGATTACAAATGTGTAAGTGCTAGTATTTCATTTGTCTACCCTGAACTCAATTTTGTCCTCGTCTTAATAAGATATATAGAATATTTAACAGACGTAACAACTTATATCTAGAACAGCTCAAGTATATCACACAGAAACCGTCAATGGAGTTAAGGCAATAATTGTTTAAGTAGCTTCATCACACATACAGAAACCAGTATAATCACATGAACAAATAAATTATTTCAGCTTCCACAATACCTGCATATCATGAAAATCCTTTCCAGCATGAGGGTTTGCTTCAAATAGTGAATGCAAATATGCATGCAAGAAATATCTGGAATCACACTTGTCACTTGCATTCAAAAGTTGTTTGACCACTTCAGATGGAGTAATTAAATCCTTGTTTTGAATCAATAAAGGAACTGCCTGCTTGCAATCTAGCATCATCAGTTGGACAACCTACAAGGGCACAAGCGACAATCACCCACAATAGAAATTAGCATGAGCCAACATGATAGAAAATTAAAACAGTGACAAAGTTGATAATTCATCTCTTGATGAGTTATCTACATTGCAAGTTTTCGATGTTAGATAGAAAATTATTATGTTGCTATTGATACCAGGACCAAATTTTTTGTTCTGAAATTGTGAAGGTGGCCTAAAATCAATGCAAAAACCATAAACATTTGGAAAATCAAAGCAAGAAAACGCAGATATATTTTTTAAACACAAATTTCTTCTGTTGATTGTTAACAAACAACTATAACAGTAAATACAGGAACAATAAGTTCCAACTTACAATATATAAGTTGTGATATTATTCACCATACCTTTTCCCGAATGGAATCATATAAATTGTGCTTTTCAATGAAGGAAAATATGTCTGGCTTCAAAAGCTGGAAAATGAAAAAGAATAAAAGAAAATTTAACCAATTAGATATCGACTTTCACAAAAATCCTATGAAGATGTTAATATTCTGCATCAGATTCTAATTGTAGAAGTGCTTTGTGAATAAACAGCATAAATATGCATCAAGAACACTTACATCAGCATATAGTGAAAATGCTTTTTCATATTGCCCATCAATCACGTACAACTCTGCTAGAGCCTGAAAAAGAAAAGGGGTGTCTAGCAAAATCAAAATTATCATAATATTCAAAATTCATATTCCATATCAATAATTTGTGACTGACCTCCTTAAGAGCATCTGTCATGGACGATGTATTCAGCTGAGGTTCTATAGCTGAGATAACAGGCAATGAAGAATAAATCACCGGTGGCCAAGATTTAACAGTTGACAAGAGCTCCGTATGAAAAGATGGATTTGTAGCCAGCGCTACTAGAGCAACCTAACAGCACCAAGAGAGAGAGAGACAGAGAGAGACAGAGAAACAAGATAACATATGATTCTGCAGTTGGCAAATAAATAAAAGAAGTGTGACACAACTTTAGCAGTTCAGAGGTAATGGAAAATTGTCCTCACAAACCTCATAAGCAGTATCACGTAGTCTTGGGTTTTCTGTTGGTATATATGGGACTAATACTGGAAGCTGGCGCAAATGGGCAAAGTGGAAAACCCATCTGTGAAGCATAGTCCACTGCCAGTTATTTTGAAGAATTGAATGACACTAGCCAATTATTTACTGGGAACATTGTAAAAAATGGGTTATATAGAATGGTAATTAGTACCTTTCCCCATGCTGAAGCAGATCCTCTCAACAATTTGGGACACAGAGATGCGGCTTCAGCATATTTTCTTTCCACAATCAAATGATCAAGGTATCTAGAACCAACCTACAGAGAGGAGAAAAAATTGAACTGACTGCAATTAAAGCAACTAAATTACATGGATTTTAACGGTGTAAGTACAAGTGAAATAAATTCATCAATTACAGAATCACACTGTGTAAGTAAAGCTAACGCATGCACATACAACAGCAATACTAAAGAGCCATCAAAGCAACATCCAAAAATTTTACAAGGGAAGAGAGAAAAGCGATAAAATATAAGCCATGGTGCTTCAAGCTGCTCCAAAAACTGTGTTCGCTATATTACTTTGGTCATTATGTGCACGCAAGGCACATAAATCTTAGAAAGTCTTTCCATGTTTCTTTGGTTATATTTATTCGGTATTTAGCCCACCCAATAAATAAAAAATAAAATGTGAACATAACTTTCTCTAAGAGAACATACAAATATTCTTTTAATATCTGGAGTTGTAGAAGTGAAGATTAGTTTCTAATTATTCAATGAACATCTTGCATTTCATAAAATTTAGAGGCAATATAGTCCTTTTTTCTGATCAAAAGGGCAATATAATCCTTATGAAGGCCATGCTGTCAAACTTTCAAGCATTAAGATATGTTTCACACGAGGATGATTATAATGATTTTGCCTATGGTTCATAATCTCATAAAGCCTCCTAGCATAAAAAAGAAAAAACTCATAAAACCAAAGTGCATAAGAAATTAAATGATCTATATTCATATGACCCAACAGATTTAAGTGTACTTAAATCTAATAAACAATGATACTACACGATGTTAGCCAGAGGGGTGGAAAATGTGTAACTTGAGGAAGAAAAGAGCTGCTATAATGCATAAGCACACAACATAGACACATTATCATCTTTTCTATACTGTGATATGAGAACGAGCGAATTCATACCTCATCAAGAAGTTCACTCCGTCCCTGGCCTGCTTCAACAGCAGCCAAAGCTTTTTCATGCCAACCATGTTGAAGAAGCCAGGCAATATGATCTTCAGCATCCCTGAAAAGAATATATGCATTCATGTCTTGATCAAGCTAACAAGATCCCGCTTAACTTTATAAATATTCTACAGTTGCATAAAACTCGACATGTACTCCTCCACTTAAGTACCCCCCCCCAACTTCTTATTCAATTAATCTTAAAGACAAATAACACTATCACTATACAAGAATGGTAAAGATTTACAGTGCTGATTAATCACCCAACTAAGCTCATCCCCTGAATCATCCTTGAGTCAGGTGTCAATAAAAGAAGGCAACAATTCAAGGATGGATGTACAAAATATAAAATAGTAAATCTGGAAGAACAAGAGTTTATGATTTAACTCAATCCTTATGGGCTTCAGTTTCCTCAGATTTTAGGGATTGGTCCTTTCATGCTATTATATCTGATTCTTTATCTCTGCTCGAAACTTTGGTGTTTCTGGCCGGAACTCCAATTCTTTTTGTCTAAGATAAGGGTTAAATTTTCTCATAGCTATAGGGAAGCTAATTCTTTCAGCAGACTATTGGCCTAAAAAAGAGGTGAGTTTCTGATTTAATTGGATAGTTGAACTCAAGAATAACTTTTACACGATGGCTTCAGTTTGGTAGTTTAAGGGGTTGGCTGCTCTATTGTTTTGGCTTAAATGATGCTCTGTGTAGCTCCTTCCTTTTATTCTTTTAGTTTTCAGTCTCGGCATATTCAATTGAAAAAAAAAAAAAAAAAAAAAAAAAAAAAAAAAAAAAGACATTTCCTTTTTTGTACTAATTATGTTCTTAAACCATAACTTTTATATAGATGAGACAGTAATATGACATCATTACAGGTCACAAGCACCAAAAATTTACTTATGACACAGAGATCTTGAGAGTAGATGGAGACTATTTACTGTATGTACTTCAAATCTTCATACATAATTTACTCTAATGACAAGCACAAATAAAAAATACAGCACTGACCTGGGTTTTGCAATGACTACATCCTTTGGGGATACAATATAGTACAGTGGTTCATCACCTTCAGCCCACTGACCACCAGCATAGCTGCTACCTAAATTCAAACTAAAGGGTTTTACAGCTATATAGATGTAATTATTCTGCTATTCTTAGACCATGAACTTCAAAATTAAAGTATGTTAACCTGAGAAAGGAGCGTGAGCAAGGGAATAGTCCTTTGCTTTGTAATGCTCAAAGCCATGTACAGGTAAAGCATCTGTTGAAAGCTCATCATTATTCCATGTTACAATACGTACTTCTGGTCTCTGTGCATTTCCCTGCTTCAAATAAATTATAATTAGAAACAATAACAGGGTTTTCTTTTGATTGGGCAGACAATAAAAGTACAGCAAAATCAAAAGAAACCACTTCATAATACTGCATATAATTAATAAAATGAATTATACTAAAAGGACTTTCTTTTTTCTCTCTTCTGTTTCCATTGAAAACCCCCATGGACCATCCCTGTACTAAATGCCACTTGGTTCAAACCCTTAAACTCAACTTTCCAATAAATGACAATGTATCAGTAGGAACTCGTTATCCTGATGTGAAAATGAATTAAATTGCATAATGAAAATGTATTAGTAAGACTATGCATTATCATGATGTGAAGGAGTGAATTATATGTGATAACATCTGCGATGTACAAACATTATCATGATCAAAGAAAAAGTGAATGTTTTAGCATTAAGACAACGTATCTGTGAGACATGTACGGTAATTCAGTTTTTGCTAACATAATTGTGTAGTAATGGGCTGTGGTTGATAGATCGCAACAAAAGCTTTCCATAAATATAATTTCCATGAAAAATGGACATGTATAATGAAAGTATGTATTTTAAAATTGTTTTAAAAATATGTACATTTTTTATTTTTATTTATTTTTTATTTTACCTATGATAGTGTCCGACTTTTCTGCTTAATTTAAAGGTTTAAAAGTCATTGGATAAGCTAATAAAAAAATCTACCAATAACCTAAATCTAAAAAGCCCTTTATTATAAGCACCAAAAACACACACAAATAAGTCAGCAAAAAAGTATGGAAGCTAAATAAGGTGAAAAAGGGATATCAGGAAAATAAGTTAAAACCCACAAACAAAACAAAGGAATTTCCTCCAAGAAATTAAACAAAGTTTGATCTTAAACAATAGGTTCCAAAAATGCAGACACAGCAAAGTGTCTAATCCAGTCCAACCCATTGGCTGGCTCATAAATGTGATAAATTGTATAAATGTGAATAAGTGGGTATAAAACATTAAACAAAAAGGGTCAATACACATTTTCATAAACCATAATGAGCCACCTTCAAGGAGAAATCACACTTCCAGCAACTTTACAATGTCTCCCCACCACCCCCGCCCCTCACCAAAAAAAACGAAAAACAAGAGGGGAAATAAAATAAAAATACAGAGTAACAAGATGTATATCATACAGCATGAGGGGAAATAAAATACCTGCCGTGATGGAACAGAGCTACTAAATTCCTTCTCCCCGTCTTCTTCACCAGGGATATAGGCTAGAACGACCAAAGAGTCACCAAAAGGAGCAATCCCAGAAATGAAATAGCTGGTCTGAAAGGATGCCACGATATCCACCTGGTTCATATTAGACATTGACATCGAGACATGCTTAACTGTCCCATTGGCTGCTCTAGACTGATTTGTTTTTATCGACGTTATTTTGATTGATGTTCCCCAGCCAATGACCAACAATGTGTCGTCCTGAATACAATGAAGGACAGTGAGAAACCCATGAAAACAACACCATAACTACTTTATTTAAGGGACTAAGAAAAAGAGATGCAAACTGGGAAAGAAGGTTTGGCAGCCATTTTTCATATTGAAAAATTAATCATATATAGTTATGAGGATAATGTGCTAAATATTCTAAGATTAAATCAGTTTTTAGAGTCATTAATTGTAAAATCATAGCATTATAATGTGCAGGTGTAGAAATGGAATTTCACATTTTTCCCGTGCAGAAACTTTCATTATATTAGTTCTTTATGGGAGACAAAGCTTTCATTGAAAAAGGAACAAAAGTACAATAATAGTGTACAAGGAGTCCACTCATAAAAAGGATTACACGCGAAACCGGCAACCAACAACTCTACCCTAAGATAGATACAACAAAGACCAGAGAAATGCCCCCAAAAAAAATCTACAAAGTAGCTGCCTTTCCTATGATAAAACAACAGAAAATGACAGCTCTCTATACTCCAAAGCAAACCACGCCCAAAAAGAAGCCCAAAGTCGAACAGTCCTATAAGCACTCCACCACCTCACCAGGCACATTCTCAAAAACCCTCCTATTCCTTTCAAACCATATAACCCAAAAAAATTTCATCATTGCACATCTCCCCAGAGATACAGCCATTCTCCTTTCCCCCAAAAAATTTAAAGTTCTCACATAAAAGTGCATTACATGACAGCGAAATAGACCAATATATACTTGTCTCCTTGAGCAGCCATGGCCATAAAGACAAAGCCGCTCGACAATGAAGCAACAAATGATCCACTGCTTTATTTGCGCCAAGAAAAAACAGTGTCTAAATTTGACAATTTCCCATATGTAGTTACGCCAAGTCTAATTTATTTTTATTTTTATTTTATTTTTTGAGTTGTGAGAGGTTTGACTGGCTTTTATTAGGTTTTACTTCAGCTGTTAACGAACTATTAGATACCTACGATATTTGAGATTCCAATTCCTCCCAATCATTTCTCCATTCCTTCCCCAATTAAAATCCTAAAACAGCAAATTTTGCTACTACCTTTATCCCTCCACTGCCCCTTGAAACAGCATTTACAATCCCAAAATTACCTGCTGCTCCTGAATTCCAGCAATCTTCTATAAAGTCCCTTCTACGCTTTAAATTTAGGACCTCTTTGGAAATGCTTTTACAAATGATAAAAGCGCTCCCAAATAATTAAAAGCACTTCTGGTAGCGATTCGCAAAAATATTAAAACTGCTTCTGGGTTATAGAAGCACAGCTTAGTTCTTTATGGAGCAGCACATGACAGCTTCCAAGCACATTTACAAGAAGCACTTGGCCTTTAATAAAAAGAATTCATGTGCTTCTAACAAAATTTCTTCCAGCTGAAGAGCAACTGAGTAAAAGCACTTCCTAAGAAAGCACTACCAGCTGGCCCTTAATCTTTCAAGTTTCAACCCTTATTTCATTCTGCCGAATCACATAACTCTAAGACTCAAAGCTCCAAGTGCACCCTTGATCACCCCCCCAAAAAAAATACAAGCACCGTATGTAGGTTCACTCCCATGCACCACGTCAAAAATTATTGAAGTGTGGTCCACCCATTAACTACATGTGCCTGTAAATACTATACTCTTTCACTAACCTGCCAAACTAGGTGAGGGAGCAAAAGTTCTGGTCGTGGGCTTCCTCGTGGTCTTTCAATGAATGTTATACGCTGATCATTTGCAGTATCGTATACTTTCACACCTGAATCATTAGCCCAAGCAATGAGACTTGTTCTCCACTTCACTGCATGTATAGGACCTTCACCAGAATGCAAAACCTAGAAAGACACATTTGCTTTAAGAAATTAGAAAGCATACTGGGAAAATTATTTTTGACATGCAATAATATTAGCTTAGTACAAACCTGATCTCTAAAGCCCAGCCATCTTTTTGTATTATAATATAAATGACCAGCTAAACCACCAGCTGCAAATCTCCTAGAAGATTTTTTTGCATAATCTGGATCCAAAGCAATAGCCTTCATTGGGCGATGATACTCAAACCTCATTTTCTCATCAGTGAAAAGGCTGTTTATTACAACAGACCCATCGTCTGAACAGCTTCCTATATATTCACCTTCTATGTCAAAGCTAAGATCATTCACTGCAGCAGTATGAGCAGGGAATTCCTTAACCTGCAACAAAGCAAATCAAGTACATGATATTTGTCTTCAATGATAAATCAGGGGCCAAATGCAACAATCTTTCAACCTTAATATGATATGAGATGGAAAAAAAAGGTCACTGATCCTACAAGTTAATGAATTGACAAAAATATGTCAAAAGAGAGTTAAAATTTTAACCAATCCCCCCCTCCCAACACAACATAAACACCCGCACTCCAATAAATCAAATAAAGAAAGTGGACAGACCCACTATTTTAAATTGAATGCATTGGCAGAAGAAATTTGATGACAGTAATGCTTAGAAGGCAGACAACAGAAATGCTTATTTTATTTAATTTTTCTGTAAACCACATAACCATAGAGTAGTAGAGTACTAGACTACTACTCTTTTCTTAGGAAGCAGAAAAAAGACTATTAATTGATTTAAAGTGGTACCAATTATACTGTCACACATATGAACATGAAAACTCGTGCGCAATTAATTCTGTTTTCAGTGGACATTATATATTCTCTAAAATCATGGTGTTGATTGCTGCACTTGCTGCGCGACAAGGTCCTCTAACTTAGAGCAAATTCAAACATCTCCAAGGAACACGTCTCATCTATTGTATATAAATGTAATTCGTAAGCATACTAGCCTTACACTTACTGTATGCCTATATTGTCGCACGGACTCTATCCATGTCTAAAAGAATTAACAAACGTGATAATGCATTTACTAATGGCAACAGCCTATATGAAATGCAAATTCGAAAATTAACTACAAACATCGCAAAGAAATCATATCGGTAAACCACCTACTAATATCACAAACAACCTACATTGCTTGTCGAGGTTAAACGTTGCATCTCTACCCTAACGCAGAGGTAATTGCCCAATCAAAAAATAAATGTTTTTGATTTTAAGGTTTTAGGAGAAGTAGAATTCAATCATCATACAAGGAGTGTAAGTTCAACAGAGCTGAAAATTGAATTGGCACAGAAACACTTTATTAAGATTTTTTTTTTTCTTTCTTTTTTTTGTAGTTTGATTGGGCAGGCAATAAAAGTACAGCAAAATCAAAATAAACCACTTTACGATACTGCATGCATATAATTAATAAAATAAAATTATACTAAAAGGGCTTTCTTTTTCTCTATTTTGTTTCCATTTGAGCAATTGAAAACCCCCATGGACCATCCCTGAACTAAACTCCACTGGGTTCAAGCTCTTAAACCCAATTTTCCAATAAACCCGCAAAAAATTAAAAATTATAAAGAAAAACCAGATCCAGCCAGCTCCATTTTGATCCAAAACAAACTCAAATCCCACGAATGACACTAACATAACCTTCAATACAATGATTCCAAGAACGACTAATTCAGAAGATAAAAAACTGAATTGAAGCCAAGCTCAGTCCCTCACCTGATTCCCGAGAAAATCGAGAATATGAACGGTGCCCCCGTGAGTTCCGAGCGCGATCATTCGTTCCGCGACGGCGATACACGTAGCCACATCGCTCGTCAACAGCGTAGGAATGCTGCCTCCCATTCGCTGGTACTTTAGCCTCGGCTCCTCCTCCTCCTCTTCCTCTTCCTCTTCTTCTTCTTCCTCTTCTTCCTCTTCTTCTTCTTCGCCCTCTTCCTCTCTCTCATCGTCTCCTTCTACGCCGTTATCTGGCGGAATCGGAGCCATTGTTATATACCTCGTCAGCTCTTCTCGTGGATGTTCGTCGTCTCAGAGAGAAGAATGATTTGAGTTTCAGAGTTGAGAGTCGAGGGAGAGATCTGTTTGGTTTGAGCTTTCTTTGTGTTTTTATTTTTTAATTTTTTTTTTATAATTTGGGGTCTTTCCCATTTAACGACGATTGGTGAGTTATTTACAAGGCGACAAAAAGAGTGACGAATGCGGCATGAGCGCCACGTGTATAGAATGTGACTTTTCACTTGGGTTGGGGTCGACTCGTTGTGTTAGTTTTGACCTGTCACTTGCTGACTTTTTGGGTCATTTTGCGAAGAATCAATAATGAAGGGAATAATAAACCCAACTTTTCATAAGTTAACCTAGTCCTTTAATGAATTTATATTTTAAATTTTATTCTTAAATAAAATGATCATAAACGACATAATTGAATTTAAAAACAAATTAACTTTTCCACTCATTTACCATAGCAAAATGCAAGGAAAGGTAAGGCCTTACTATGAGTTTTTATCAAAAATAGCCAAAATTTACCATATACTTTCATAAATGTCCATTTTGATAAAAATTTTCAAAAATAACCAAAAATTCATATATACAGACTCAAATGCCCTCAAAACTTAAACCCACATAAACCTAACAAGCAAAAGAAACTCAACATCTGAAGAGGATATTCCAAAATAATTTATTTTAAAAATGAAATCATTAAAGAAAACCAAAGCTACATGGAATTGAAGTTAAAAAAGAAAGTAATAATAAAATAAAAACATCACATTTTGTTGGGCAGTGCACTTGACAAAATAAAAACACCTCATCCCCCACCCAACACATATCTTCCCCCTCTCTCTTTTTTATTATATTTTCTCAGTCTCTCTCCCTCTCTTTTTCTGTTCTTTTTTCCTTGTTCTCTCTCTCTCTCTCTCTCTCTCTCTCTCTCTCTCTCTCTCTCTCTATTCTTTTTCCGTCTTCCTCTATTCTTCTTTTCTTTCTTCTATCTCTGTCTGCTCCATCTCTCTGCTCTTTCTTCTTACAGCCATGCTAAATGTTAATTTAAGCTAAGAAAAAATAAAAGCCCTCGGGTTGTTGCCCAGGTGAGGCTGTACTAAGGTCCATGCCTATTCTCATCCCTCCTCTCCATCTCCCGGTCTTGAAAGCCCAGCTACAAAGTGAAGAACTATGCAACTACAAAACAAAATAAACAAAAAAACAAAAAATCCTTTTAAATTTTCTGCTTGTTGATTTTTTTTCTCACTAGTAAAATTTAATTCCCTTTACTTGAATGTTTATTACAAAATCCATAAATAAAATCAACAACTATAACTTTAATTATTGTTTGGCAACCAAGAGTATGCAACAGTGTGCACAGTCACCAAAAGAATTCAAATATTTGAAGCTTTACAATGAGAAGTCCTGCCGCAAGTAACTTGGTGTGTTTGTCTCCTTGTGAATCTACAGCACACACGAAGAGTAGAGGTTGGCCCAAAAATTGTTAGAATAGGGTTTTGCTTTTTAGATTTATGTGGGTTTGAGTTTTGATGGCATTTGAGTCTATTTACATAAGTTTTTTACTATTTTTGAAAGTTTTTATCAAAATGGACATTTACGAAGTATGGTGTAAAATTTGGCTATTTTTGATAAAAACTCAATTAGGAGTATTCACATGAATAGTACATGTCCTAGCAAAATTTTTTGATGCATTCTCACCCATTGTCATGGTAACTCAATAGTTACCACTATTCACATGATATATGAGGAGAGGAATTTGTATAGATTTTGTTTTGGGAAGTGAAAAACATGGCTAGGTATTTATAGGAAAAAAAAATTCTAAATTTTTTGGTTTTTTTTTCAAATTTTTAATATTGAAATTGGTCATTGATGTCAGCTTGCCCATGCAATAGCCCATTCAATTCTGGCATTTGGGCTTGCCCAATTTAATGGGGCCCACTTCTTGCCATAACAATTTTTTCTTGGTAGGGTTGTTTTTGGAGCCTCAAAAGGGGATAAGTGAAAGTACTCGCCGGTAGGTAATAGAAGTAACTCATGCACTCTATGACTTAGAGCACTTCCACCCATGATGCCATGGCAAATGGCAAGCGCAAGTAAGGGTAAACACTATTCACATGAAAGAATGAAAGAATGAAGAGGTGAAGAAAAAAAATTCAAATAAGATAAATATATGAAGAAGAGAGGAAGAGGTAGAATGAAGAAATATATGCAAAAATATAGAGGAAGAGAAAGGGTAAGAAATATGCGGAAAAAAGAGAAAAACGGAAGTGCAACAAGAAAAACGATTATGGTTCACCGAAAAGAAAAAGAAGTATGGTTAAAGTTGTTATTTAGTTGGGTATAAATGAGAACCAAGACATTTGGGTATTAACTGAACTAAAATATCTAAATATTACTTAGAGTTACTAATGTGATATGAATATTAATTAAACTTACTAATAATTTTTGATATAAATGAATACTTAATTCTAAACCTGACAACTTGAAAATTAACTAGAAGATTATTTCATCATACATGTGTATTGATACATATACAAACTTCAACAAGTGACGAGGAGTGTACAAGTTGGTTGTGTGTTAGCATGGATTGGAGAAAATGATTATGTATTGTAATGTGGTACATATAAAGCACAATAACAGACATGATGCAACATATATACAATCGTACAAATAGGTTATTAAAATAAAAATGCACAAACATAAACTTAAACTTGAAAGTTCTCACATATACAAGCTTAAACGAGTGATGGAGTTGGTATAAATTGGGTGCTATCTTCATTGGTGCCCCATTAAAGGAAAGTCTCGCAGAGCTATATGGGATTGAAGAGAATTGTTATCCCAAGAGCATCTCCAGTGGAGGGTTGTATAATGAGATGTATGTTAAATATACACAATTTGTGATAGGAATCACTTGCAATGAGAAGGTGTAAACGATTGTAAATTTGCATTACAACCGTGAGATGCAATGTGCATCTTTTTTTACATCCATTGTAGGTGGGGCCTACATGAGAAAAAGTGAAAAAAATGGGACAAAAGTGAGAAAAATCAATTATACATATTCCTCATTGGAGCAAAAATCACATTTACAACTCCCGGATGTGTAAAGGAGATGTAAAAGTGGATTTATACCCCCGAAAATACAGACCCCACTGTGGATGCTTTAACAAGAAGGCTATTGGTATAAACAAATGAGCTTAATTAGTTTAAAATGAATGGTAATTAAGGGTATAAATTAATGGGTATTTATGATATAGCTGATAGTTATTAGTTAATCTCTCTTTGTCAAAAAAAGATATTTTAAACTTTATTTACAACGACTGTACAAGTTTTAAGTGTAACGCGTGCCAATCAAATCAAAATAGTTGAGACCTGAGAGAGTAAGAACTCCCAAGTCTACAAAAGCAACGAAAATTCTACCAGACCCAGAGTCGCTGACTCACACTCAGACCCCCGGATCCTGAAAACGAAAAGCAAACGAAACAGAAACACTGAAATCAGATCCAAAGACCCAAACGCAGTTCCTTCCTGAAATGGGTTTTGCAGCGCTTGATCTTGGAGGTTCCATTTGAAATGCAGCAGAATCTGTTTCCCTTCGGCAGCGTTTTGGGAAATCCGTTTTTGTTCAATGGCGATTTGAGCGAGGGCTTGGAGAGTCCTGGGGTTTTGTTCTTGGTCCCCTTTTTGTTGTTCCAAGGTGGTGAGATGGATTTGTCTAAGGTCGGCGAGAAAATTTTGAGCTCCGTTAGGTCTGCCAGATCGCTTGGCCTTCTTCCTTCTGCTTCTGATCGCCCCGAGGTGATTGAATTTCAAGTTTTGCTCATAATGCAGCTTTGCTGCGCCCCAATTCAATGTGTTTCGTGTTTGGTTTGATGCATTTTGATTATTTCGGACTAAAAATGAGTTCAAATTATGTAATTAGGTATTTTAATTTGACAATGCTTAATCCAAGTGCATGGATATTGCTTTACATACTAATAATAGTTGATTGTAATTTTAATTGTGGTTTTGTGGCAATCAAGCAGAGGTTTAAGTTAAATGAGTAACATTTTAAGAGCTATGCTTCTTAATCTGACAGTTGTAGTTAATTCATTGTTGAAAAAGACAGAAAATGGTTGTGTTCACTGCGAAATATAGCAGCTTGGTACAGGCCTAGCATTTGTTTTCTGTCATAAATGTACTGATAGTATTGGAAAGAAAAGCGTTGTTTTGATTTGTGTGTTGTTTATCTTCTCGAACAGGTTCCTGCGCGAGCTGCGGCTGCTGCAGCTGTTGCTCGTGCTATTGCCGGACTGCCTCCACACCAAAGGTTTGGTCTCTCATCAAGCTCTCAAGAACTGAGCTCAATATATGGAAGCACACCGCAAGGTCCAGTAGTGGAGGAGATAGAGGAAGAATTTTATGAAGAGGTGCTACTTATATCAATATGGTTTCAATGTGGGAGTGCTTATGACGTGTACTGTCCTTTAATGTTAGGATACTTTAGTTTTTTTCTAAGTCATTGACATGCTTCAAATAGCAGAAAGGTTGCTAATGTGATCTCTTTTGAGTAACAGACAAATTTTCTTAACAACCACAATAAGACAAATGCTAATTAAGTTCCTGTTAAAGTTTTTCACTTATAAAACATTGGTGTCAATAAGGAGGCTAGCCTTCATGAGATTTATATTCCTGGAACTTCTTCACATGTTTGATTGATTTTCTACTCTCCTTGATGATGCTGACAATCATACATTTTCATTTTTTAAATAATAAGTTTAGTCATGTTATAGTGGCGTAAGAAGCTGTTTCCTTACCATTTTGCAGTTGATAACAAGAGGGAGCAAATCATTGATATGCATGACAACTTGGATTTGCTATCTCCAACCTTAAAAATGATTCGTAGTCCAAATATGTGTTCTTCACACGTAAAATTTGGAATTCTGGACTTGTAATTGCCTTAAATCTGGACATATATGATGTTTGGTAAAGAAATTAATTTTTTCATAATTCTG